TCGAGGAAATCTCGCTGATCAGTTGAGGGAATTCCTTTCTTCTAACATGTATAAATAGACATTGTATTCAACTAATTGAAGAGTGCTTTGTCATTACATTTCATTTTCTCATGCTATCAGAGTTGTAGTGAGCGAACGCTAGCGCAGAGCGACAGAGGGAGAAGATAGACAGTCGTTGTTCGTTTAGGAGGAAATCAGTGATCTGATCAACAATCACTAAAGGTGGCAGCACCTGCGCTTCCTTTGGGAGCATCGTCCGTGGTGAAGAGAGAAGAAATAGGGATGCTACACTAAAGGGAAGGGATCGCCTTGCGCACGAACGCAGATCATCAGTCGTCGGTCGCCTTGCACTTGCTTGGGAGGTGGAGACCTTTGACAGGAGATGTGGCACTTGCGTTTGGAGTAGCAGAGGCAACAACAAGAGCAGATTCTCGAGTAAGTGACGCAAGCTTCCATGATCTTGATGTCGGTGTAGCAAGAGGAGGCACTCCTCGTGCGCAGCTTGCAATCTACAAGGTGTGCTGGGGTGCGCGGCTAGCAATCTACAAGGTGTGCTGGGATGTCAGGTTTGAGGATGCTTGGAGTGGCAAAATTTTGTCCTCTCGATGAGAAGTATGCAACAGAAGGCACCGGTGAGCAGCTGAACCGGTGCCGGGTGGTGGGCTCGAAAGGTGCGGGCGTTGGCTTTGCGCTTGCCACCGTTCTCCTCAAAGGCTACACGGAGGCGACCAATGAGGGCGTCAGGGAGAGCTTTTCTGCCGGATGAAGAGCCTTGAGGGAGGAAGAAGTGGCAGTATAAGTTGCCTCATCTAGACGACCAAGACACACAATGGAAGCCACCTCGTCTAGGCGACCGGGACCGATGATTCGTTGATGGAGAGGAAGGTATAGTAGCAGACAAGGTGGATACGGAGGATCTCGTTGATCTACTCCTCATTGGCCTCGCAAGCATGATGTTGTCATGCTAGTGGCGATACTGATAGAAGGTGAGTTAGCTATCGCTGAACATCGAGGAAGAGAAGAGAAATCTTGCTATAACGCAAGGGCTCTGATACTGATAAAATGAAATGTAATGATAAAGTACACTTCAATTAGTTGAATACAATATCTATTTATACATGTAAGAAGAGAGGATTTATCTGATCAGTAAAATTTTCTCGTATAGTTGAAGAAATCTTATCTGTTATGAGGATCTTCTAATATGTATAGACTTTAGACGATGAGATGATCTTCTAATAGAAAGAAAAATGAGGATGATGTGAACTTTATATGAATAGAATAAGACATGGAAGAATAAATGGGATGGAGATTGACGAAATCTTCACTTGGATTACCATCTTATTCTAAAGACTTGAGCTGGAGGAAAAGGGTCCCAAACCTAACGACACAATGTCGATGCCTATACGTATTCTCCTCCGTAGATCATGACCCACTACCAACTCTTGACCGTGTTGTTCTTGACGAGGACTAGTCATCAACGAAGCTCCGAGGTCACCCTAATATTTTAAGAAGGTTCAGATGACCTGGGAGACTTCCATCTCTCTCTGTTTGTGTTGGAATTCTAATGTAAACCCTTATGCCAGGATTAATACTTATAATAAACCTTACACGAAGTTGGCTCTTTCCTAATCGCTTAAGGTTTTGAGACTAACTGTATCTCAATCAAAATTCGTATCGTGATATTAAAATATATTCGAGTGTGAAATTTACAGTCATAGAGCAAAGATGATGATCCTCGTGAGTTTCTTTGGTCTTAGCTTAGTGGCGAGGAGTCACAATCGATTAGGAAATCCGCTAAGCTGGCGCCGGCCATTAATTGACTCATCGATGGTGCGTCGACTATGGAGAAAGACTAACAAGTTCGTGGTCGTTCCCATGACGCAGCGGAAACCGTGTGCAAGCAGGGTTGAAGAAGGCGAACACGTCTTTCTTCCCCCATTAATTTCGCTCACCGCATGTTGCAAGCCAAAGCTCAAAGGGCTTTACATGAACAGAGTATGGCATTGAAGAATTAAAGGTGTGGCGATTAATATACTCCATTAACCTTTTTGTGCTAACTTAGGTTCTGATGGTGTGACATGTGAGTAAGGTTCGGAGCCAATCAATGTTTACTTTTGACTCCGTCTCAGTCCGAGATGTTGGGTAGCTGTTAAAGTCAGATTTGTCGAGTCGATTGCCTCGGCTAGTCGCTGGTGCATCGTTTGACTATGAACACCAACGTCAGCATTTTCGCCTCCGTCGTTGTCCTTGTCCCACCGCCACCTCTAGGCTGAGTTGTTCCTTGCGAAGACTCGGTCGCAGGACCTTCTCGTAGTTCCCACCGGGGAGACTGACTTCACTTCCATCCTTCTCTACGTGTTGGAATTATACATCGGATGCTCATGCTTCATTGCGAGGATGAATACTGACAAACCGAACACATCGGCTGCGGTTGTTTAGGATGATGACGACCCATTCATTCCCAGCAGCCTCATCTGCACGAGACTTCCTCGGAGTTTCCCTTCTGCATTACGTCAATGAATTCAGTCTCAAAATCAGTTCAAGAGTACCGGCATACGCATTAGATAGATCGAATAGAGTCGGATGCCCGAAAAGAATCGATCTACCGCCATCCTTATCTCTGTCCTTGACGATGTTTGCACAGAGACGACTCGATCCCTCACAAGTCGACTGTCTCAGTTGGTCGCTGGTGCATCGACCATAGAGGAAGACCAAATAAATGAAGGCGTGAATGAGGCGGTGGCAACCGTACGCGAAGCAGACTCGAAGAAGTCTGCTCGCGGCGGAGCGCGCCACAGAAATATAATAGATTGTAAGATTTTATATACTTCGAGGATACGTTTCTTCTCATGCTTAACCTCAAAGAAAGCTGGAAATCACTTAAGCACATGAGTTACAAAAAAACACTACAGCAATACAAATAAATTATACGATGCAAAGATGATGAGTAGATGAGCGCCTCTTCTAAGAGTCATCCAACAGTTAGTCAAAGTCTTCATGTCTTCATCCCAAAGCGCAGCCTCCCCCTGTCATCTCCTCTTCTCTGGTGCAGGTCCCATCCCACCCTCCTTCCCTATATAACATGAACGAGGCCTTCGCCAATCGTCACAGGCAATTCACCATGGCCTCCCGTAACCTCTCCTCCCTCCTCCTCGTCGCCCTCCTCGTCTTCGCCTTCTCTGCCGGCTCCCACGCCGGCAGCATCGCCGTGTACTGGGGCCAGAACGGCAACGAGGGCGGCCTTGCCGACACCTGCAACTCCGGCATCTACTCGTACGTGATGCTGGCTTTCCTCACCACCTTCGGCAACGGGCAAACCCCCGTCCTCAACCTGGCGGGCCACTGCGACCCCCCCTCCGGCACCTGCACCGGCCTCAGCTCCGACATCCGCGCCTGCCAGTCTCAGGGCATCAAGGTGCTCCTCTCCCTCGGTGGCGACTCCAGCAGCTACTCCCTGTCCTCCTCCGACGACGCCGCGAGCGTGGCGACGTATCTGTGGGACAACTACCTCGGCGGCTCGTCCAGCTCGCGCCCGCTGGGCGACGCCGTCCTCGACGGGATCGACTTCGACATCGAGCATGGCGGCCCCGACCACTACGACGAGCTGGCGAAGCAGCTGTCCGACTTGGGCAGCCAGGCGGGGACCAAGGTGTACCTCTCGGCGGCGCCGCAGTGCCCCTTCCCGGACCAGTCCTTGGGGAACGCGCTGCAGACGGGGCTCTTCGACTACGTGTGGGTGCAGTTCTACAACAACCCCAGCTGCGACTACTCGTCGGGGGTCAGCGGCCTGAGCAGCGCATGGGGGACGTGGACGTCGAGCTTGTCGTCGTCGATCGTCTTCCTGGGGCTGCCGGCCTCGCCGGACGCGGCCAATAGCGGGTACATCCCTCCCGACGACCTCACCTCCCAGGTGCTGCCGGCGATCAACACTGCGTCCAACTACGGCGGCATCATGCTGTGGAGCAGATACTACGATCGCAACAGCGGGTACGGCGAGAAAGTGAAGAGCAGTGTTTGAGATGGCGATGTACTAACTACTATAAGTGTGCTTCCGATTACGAGGTCATGAATAAGGAGGGACGGTGATAGAAACGTGTTCCAGATTGATGTGACGATGCGTCCCAATAAAATAAAGATTGCATAAAGCCGTCCCGTGAAACGATTGAAATCAAAGGCGGCGCTCGCTGGAATACGGTTGGAATCGATTGGACTCGAACTAAAACTTCAAATCAGTTCGATAATTAGTGGATTCTAAATCGAATTGGAGTTTTGAAATTTAAAATCGATAATTCTCAAAACGATAGTTCAGATTTTAAAAAATAATTATAAATAAATTATAATTTTTTATTTTAAATTATTTTTAAATTAAAAAAATCGAAATCGTCCTGTTTCAATTTCGATTCTTTTTTTGAAAATTTAGTAACCCGAATTTGTCGATTATGAAACTTTGGTTAGGTGTAATGAAAGGGTGTCTTATGACATTGGCGTAAATAATAAATTCACCAAATATTCATATAATAAAAACATTCCATGGACTGATCACATCGAATTATGTATTCTAAAAGCTCTTCTTCGTATTCCTTTCTGCGGTGAGCAGCAAATCATAAATTGAAGGTTGAGTGAGACAAAATACAAGAAAAACACAGACAGTCATGTTAATGGGCAGATTTGTTGGGTCTCAGAACTCGGTAAGGAGAAAACCAACATGATGCTGTTAAAAGTTCTTCCGAACCAGAATCAGTGGAATGCATCCATGTCAGAAACCTTATAGAACACTAATGAAAGGTTGAGAAGACGAAGGTGCAGGCTTTTTGGAGGATCAGACAAGGAATGGTGACGTCAAAAGGTCGGGGAAAAGCTTGCAAGAAAAACCAACTCCTCACAGTGGTGTGTACGAAGCTGCGCTAAGTTGGATCCTCTGCTCTGGTCAGAGATGTTTAGGTCTCAACAATATATATCTATATATATATATATATATATACACACACACATCACGCGCACCCCTTTCTCTCTCTCTCTCTCTCGCTCGCTGCGCTGAAACCAAACGGCACTGAAGAAATCCGCTTCCCGTTTGGTGTTCTCTGCCTGTCTATTTGGTTGTTTGCTTTCGAGCAGCCGAGAGGACTGTTTCATTTTGCTCCTTTTTTATCTCTTGGGGACTGTCAATCTCGATCCCGAAGCAAAGCTGCCTTCTTTTGGGTGTCGTTTTCTGTGGCCGGATCAGAAGCTGTAAGATAAGTACTGCGGAAGCCCGCACGGCCGCCCGCTTCCCACTCCCGCGCTCCCTTCCGCGGTGGGATGCGAACAAAAGCGGTTCGTGCCAACAACCTCTCTCCGCCATTATCGCGCCCGACTCGGAGCTCTGGTTATATTTTGGTGGGACGAATAAGGGAAAGTTGGGGGTTTGCGCCGAGCGGAACCGAAAAGATCGGATCTTGGCGTCTCTTTCTTCTTCTGCAGCGGTATGGCTCGAAGCTTGTTTATCCTGTCTTTCTCGTCCTTGTCTCTAGGTTTTCAATTCTGCCTGCCGTCCGTGAACAGGGAATATTTGCTTTGGAATGAATATCCCAATTCCTGTCTTCAATATCTTCTGGCCCAACCATGGATGCTGATCTTGAATTGGAGGTGATTTGCCCCCGTTGGCAATATGGCTTACACCCAACATTTGCTGGCAATTTGATGTATAATTCAGTACCTTTGTTGTGAAATGTCCTATGACCTCTTCTTTTCCGATGTTTATTTTATAGATCTTTTTCATTCGAATTCTGAGGCATTTTAGGTATAGATTCCTCTTTCCTGACATTGTTCTTGTGTTTTCTGGTTCTAGTAATCAAGTTTTTTGTACTAGTAGTTTGACTTTATTCACTTCGATGCATCCATATTACATACTGCTTGGTCTTAATAACGTGTATTTAGATATGAAATGCTTCATCCTTCATGTTCTTATTCCACTCTCTACAGAACAATTTGTCCTCTCTCATGGAGAGTGACCAATCATGGGAATCTCTGTCTGCTAGCTACTCTGGAAGCAAGGATATCGAGCGCAAACATGTCTCTGAGGGTAACAATCGAGTGACAGTATCTATGGTTTCCTTGGACAGCATTCTTCCTGATGACGTTTTAGAGAAAATATTCTCTTTTCTGCCCATTGCAAGCGTCATCAGGGCTGCATCTGTGTGTAAAGTTTGGTATCATATCATCCACTCGATGAGGTTTATATGGGCAAACAAGTTACCACAGAAGCCATGGTACTTCATGTTTACCTTTAATGAGGCTGCAGCAGGTTACGCATATGATCCGGTTCTTCGGAAATGGTATAACATTGATCTCCCTTGTATCGAGAAAAGTAATTGGTTCGTTTCTTCTTCCAATGGATTAGTTTGCTTCATGGACAATGATACTCGGAGCCGTATTTTTGTTTGCAACCCAATTATAAGAGACTGGAAAAGGATTTTGGAGCCTCCGGGTGTTGTTTTCCCTGATTACAGTTCTCTTGCCATCTCTGTAGATAGAAGTTCTCACCGTTATACGATAGTTGTCATCAAATCTAAACAGGTGCCTGATGATTTTTCACAGTGGGACTTCTCCATTCACACATACAATTCTGAGAGTGAGTCATGGGAATCTTCCATAAATACGGTTTTGTCTGGATGGAGGGGAGGTGATGAAAGTGTGATCTGCAATGGAGTACTATATTGTTTGATTCATTCTACCGGTGTTGTGGGAAATGCTGACCTCCGACATAGACTGATGATGTATGATATCTCAGCCACAACACCACATGTTTCGTCGATGCAGGTGACCATACCGGTACCCTGTTCCCTCACCTGCGGTCGGCTGATCAACCTCAAAGAAAGACTAGTGATGGTTGGTGGAATTGCAAAGTATGACAAGCCAGACATCATCAAAGGGATTGGAATTTGGGAACTTGATGCAGGAGAGTGGGTAGAGGTTGCTCGTGTGCCTCACAGGTTCTTCCAGGGGTTTGGTGAGTTGGATGATGTCTTTGCGAGCAGCGGTACCGAGGACTTGATCTTTATACAGAGCTATGGGGCTACAGCTTTGCTTGTTTTTGACATGAGCCAGAAGCAGTGGAAATGGTCTGCTAAGTGCCCTGTGACCAAACGATTCCCTCTCCAGCTTTTTACCGGTTTCTGCTTTGAACCTCGGCTTGAAATGGTCTCCTGATCTCTGCTGTTCTCTAGTGTTGGGACCGAGTAACAGTTTGCTAAAGTGTCTTTAAATTTTTGTAGGGTTTCAGGTGCTGGTTTCTTGGTACAGAAAAATCATGTGTCGTGTTATTTGATGTTTTCTCTTCTTTTTTTCCTTTATCTTGATCATGTGATGGCACAAAGTGACATATGGAATGGCAAGTGTTTAAAACGACAGGTTCTCCTATAAAAGAAAAAGGTTCAAACATTATCATCTTGAGCTTTCTTCTGGATCTCATGTTTGCTGGGTTTGCTAGTAATCAGTAGCAAATTTGCTCTTAATTCCCTTTCTGGAGTTCTTTTTACTTGTTTGTGCCCATCTGCTTTGTCTTTGGTCTTCTTGTTGTTTCAGTGATAGGTGCATTACCTTCAGGGCTTTTGTTTTAGGTCCCCATTAAGTGAAAGCATTCCTGTGTGGCTCTCATTGCATTAGCTAAAATTGAACATTGTCCCAGAAGAATCAGGGTTGCAGACATTTAATCCAGTCTACATGCATCAAATTGTAGCTTTGTTCTTGTCTACATTTCTAACCTCCTTTACTGCTTTATATTTACTAGGCTGTACAAGGAACATAGCTTTCTGCTTTAATGTCTCAAAATGTGCAGCTTAAAGTAATGTTTCTGTTACACCTTGGAGGCTGCTTCAAGTTTGTGCCATTAGCATATCTCTTCTATAGATTAGCAACTTTTCTGTCCTCACTGAACTTTATTCGTCGTCTTCCAATCGATCGATATTTTTATCAAACATTGATCATATACCGGATGAATGTCGATACATTTCATGGTGAGTTATGAATGACTTGCACAGTCCATTTGCATATGTTTCCAGTTGCATGATAATTAGATTGATGGCAGCAGCTCTGCATGCAACATGGAAAATCAATGGCTCACATGATGACAATGTTTGCAACATGTCATGTGGGGCTTGTGTAACCCTGTAAAGATTCAAGGCCATAGCAGGCTGACTCCTCTCCTGTTTATTTTCTTGGAAGATATGACAGCCAAGATTCAAATGGATGATGCCTTGGCTGACATTGATTTATCCACCCTTGTGCAATAGTTCTAATTGCAAGAGAGCAGCTCAAGTTCCCTCTGACATGATTTGCAATTTTCTGTAGGAAGGAACAGAGTACCCATAAGTTATCTGGCAGGTGTTCTTTCTTTTCCAAATCCATATGATGCATGGTGGTGAGTTGCCCCATGAAAGATCAAATGTTGAGAGCAGGCAAATTAAAAGGACACTGTAGATGTTTGAGGTGGAAATAGGTTTTTTCTTCTCTGCTCTTCATATCTTCGGCCAACAAGATCTGTCATAGATTTGGTAGGGAGGACAGTGAAATATGAAGAGCAACTACCAACTACTGATCAAGGACACTGCAGGCAAAGATCTGGTAGGGAAGACAGTGAAATCTGATGCCACATCTGGCTTCTTGTGTGTCAACTATGAGTGGAGCCCAAGGCAACTACCAATTACTGATCAATGGATGTCAGCTGGTGGCTGAGACTGTAAGTCTCTTTCCATTCAGCATTCCACACGCTGTCCTTTTCCATGTTTAAAGTAAATTTCTTTCCTTTTCTTCCTTGCATGGTGTACTGAGATGATGAATGCACCATTCATCTGTGCATGAATCCAAACCAAGTTCAGAAAGATGACTTCTTCTTGTGCATATGAACAAGAGCCAGACACAGAGCTGGGGACCAATTGCAGCCCATTCAACATTTGTCCTAGATCTTTGGGTCAGGTTTGACAAACTTGATCAACTACTGAATGCACTTGAAAGGAGTTCCTTTTCGAAGGGGTAAGCAAGAAGATGGAACAGAAGTGTTCCAGCCTCTTGGTCCATATACAGTAGCAGTGATGAAGAAGCAGAGCTGCACCAACGCGGAAAGAGAGGAAAGATCGAAGCTTGAAGATAACGAGCAGAAGAATCGATCCGACGCCTCTAATCTGCCCCCACGAATTTGCCTCATCTGCGGGGAAAGATGCCATCTTGCAATCAAAATCAGATCAGGCAAAGGGAGGAGAAGCGCAGGGATATGCACGTCGTTAGGAGGGCGACCGTCCACCGGAATCCGGTGAACTCGAGGGAGCTGTAGCGCGAGGGAAAGAGGCCAATGGGTTACGGGTTTTGTCACGAGGCCAGAATTATAACCACTAGCTGTTGAACTGGGCAGCCCGAACCGACCAACCAAGGCGACGAACCCGGTTCGATCCGAACAGTTTAAGGAATTCGATAAAACCCTCGAATCACTAAAACAAAACCTCACCGTCAGATTCCAAGACAGCCCTCCGCATCCACCCAAAACACCCCATTGCCTGAGGTCCTCTTCTTCGTTCCAATTAAGATGCGTCTTGAGATCTTAGCTCCACTTCAGGTAACATCGAGTAAATCTGGTAGCAATTAGAATTCTTCCCGAAAGATGCGCGACAAATCGATTTGTTTGATGGTGTAATTATGTCTACGAAATGTGTTTCTTGTTTAACGTTCTTCGTCCAATTTTTTTTTCTGACAAAAAAAAATCAATTTTTGATTGAGGTATTCAAGTTGGAGCATTTCGATCTAAGAGCCAAAGTGCAAAAAATCTTGATTCTTAAGTGAAGTACAACTCAGTTGCAGAGGTTGGGGGATTTTAAGCTGTCTCATATCTTCAACTATCAACCCTACTTCACGTAATCTCCCAAACCACTAACTTCTCTAAGATTTTCAATTTTTTTATGTTGATTAGGAACAGAAAATGGTAATTATCACAATCTGCTTCCAACCTAAATTTATGAGTTGGGATTTTGTATGGTTCTTGTGTTGAGCATGTGTTGATTAGGAAAGAAATCACTCATCTCAGAGACACCTCTCACTTCTGCTTCGGCCAAATAAGAAATAAACTGACATGTTTATTTTGATTTATCGAAAAAAGTTATGGTTGTTGACTATTTTTATGATTGTTGTGGTGGACACAAGTTGATGGCTGCACTACAATCTGTAGGCTCCTTCACTTCTAATTTACACTTTGGGAATAATAAGTACATTTGTAGGGTAATAATCTCAGTTTCCTGTGTATGAGCATAACCAGCATAACATACCAACTGTTATTGGGGTTGTGCTCCTGAGCTTTGCTGGGAAGTTTTAGGATGAAACATTCCCAATCAGGGGTTAATATGATAAAAAAATGACTTGAACCAGTTTCCGATTTCGGCAATATGAAGATGGTATTAGGAGAAAAAAAGATAGTGAAGAGAAAGGATGGAGTAGAAAAGATTAGAGAAGGATTAATGGGGAAGGCAGAAGCTAGCTGCTCTTTTTCCAATGACAAATTAAAAACCAGTTGCAGGGCTTATTTTTTGTATCGAATGAGTCTCTTATTGATAAAGGTTCAATCTGCAATCCACTTCTTAATTTTGTTAGAACTCCTAAATAAAGCGAAAAATGAAAAGCTACCTTTGATTACCAAACATAATTGAAGCTTAACACTTGACCAGGATGCCCAAGATGACCCTACAGAGTACTGGTATCACACTGGTACCGGCACCATATCAAGAATTGAGACCTTGACCATGCATTCAAGATTTATGCTGTTCTTAATCATATAAAATGTCTTCACTCTACAGAAGTTGAATAAAGCATCTTATCTTACCTTATGCTCTTTTTAGTCCGCGGCCAGTATCGGAAACACGTGAGTAGCAAGTGCAACTACGGAAGGAGTTGATTCTTCACTACGGCAAACGTCAAAAGATATTTGTCCCCTCTTTTCTAGTCCAGACATTGGGAATCAGTAATACGTTATAAATTGTTACATAATGAAATCTGCATAGCAGGAAATGACAATCGAAAATTGAACATGTTCATTTTAACTTCAAGATGCATAACTTTTGACTCTTTTTCATACTGCATTTGTTAGATTTAGCATCACCGGTCTGTTGCCCAAAATTCTCCACAGAATATATGGTCTCTCTCGACTGCCATGTTGATTGCATGCCTTTCTTTTAGGATCTTTCCTGTGGTTTGCAGGATCTTTATGCCATGAGGTGAGACAAGGTAATCTTGCGTCTCTTGTTAATGAAGGTTGGTTGTCATCCACTTATCGAAATCCTCATTCTCTGTGAACCAGTGTAAAACCAGAATTATAAATTGTAGAATTGCAGTATTTGACAGCAACAAGAAATTAATGTACTTGTAATTTGCAGGACCTGCAGAATGGATGGACAAAAGTCACAAGAAACGCTTCATTCTTTGGCCAAGAATTCAAGATTGGGCTGATCATAACTTGAATTTTGTGCATAAAGTCTTGAAGGTGGACACAACTGTGCCACTCTTGTTGCTGCCTTCTCTGTAAATAAGTGAATATGTTAAAACTTTGTTCGTTCGTTTACGAACTTGGATGATCTAAGATTAGTGTTTGAAAGATTTTTATTAGCTGAACTGAATTTGTAACCTTGGAATGTAAGGTAGAAGGTTGACAAATCATTTTGTCAAGATATGTGAAGCCCATTTACTTTATATTTTCTTTGTATAGGAAGAATTTTCGTACTTTTAATTTTGTTTCTTATATTTTAACACGTCCAAATTTAGAAAAGAGGGGACGTGATGCGTCCGTAAGTTGAGGCGCGTTTGAGAAGTTGCCTTTGCCCGCGTCTCGCCCGAGCCACAAGTTCGACTTTGTGGTACAGCAGCGTGGCGACGTCGCCCTCCCGGCGCGTTCAAACACGTTTGAGATGTTGCTTCTGGCCGAGCCACAGGTTGCGACGGGCGACTCTGTGGTACCGCAGCGTGCCCACCCCTATTCCTGGCGCGTCTTGAACACGGTCAAACACAACGTTTCCGTAGGGCACGACTTGACTCGCGCCGTTTGATGGGGGCCACGCCGTCGGTTGTTGTGTGCAAAGTCGTGTCATCAAGCACTACTGGTATTTAAGATCGACCCTTGCGTGCGAACGCCGCTCACTTCTCCCTTTCCCTTTTCCTCGTCCGACCGCGACGCAGAGGGAGGGAGGGAATCGTTCTCGTTCGATCGATCTCCTTTCCCTTCTTGATCTTGAATTAGGTATATCCCGTCTCTCTTCCTCCGCAATCGCTCCTGTTGGATCTCCCTCTCCCTTGTTGATTTCGCGTTCTTTCTGAATCATTTGGATCGATTTGTGGTGGCTTTTTTTTTTGGGCAATGATTAGGTCATCGCCCAATCCATGGCTTCGAGGCGTATCATCAAGGAGCTGAAGGATCTCCAGCGGGACCCCCCGACGTCTTGCAGCGCAGGTGCCTCCAATCTCCCGTCTCCTCGTATATCTATCTGCTCCTTGATATTTCTCCTCACTTTTATATCTGAATCCAATTGTGCAATAGTCATAGCTTGTTGGAATCTTATTAGGCTGAGAACACGCAGTTGTTTGTGCCGTCGAGACTACCTCACATTAACTTATATTTGAGCTGCTTGCTTTGCTCAGTCTTGTAGGTTTGGCATGCCTATCAAAGGAAGTATACGTTCTATTTTATCATCCAATTCTGTACACTATATTCATTGCTTGCATCTCGAGTCATACGGTCTGAAAGGATGGTGAAGTTCTCAGGAAATGTTTATGGTGCCTCCTGATATAGTTCTTGCTAATCATATTAGTGACCTTAAGATATGCAATTATATGCCATGGATATCTCTTTTTTTGCTGTTTTACTTTTCTTTTTGTTTCTTGTAAAGTTGCTCATGATCGTTAATTCCATTTATTTATTTTAGATCATTTTTGTTGGATACTAAGGTAGATTATATTCATGGGAAAGATGCACGTTGTATGGGAAGTGTTTGTCATTAAGTAGAGACCTAGATGGAACATTAGTATTAAGGTGTGCAATAAAAAGAAAATTACTTGTACTGATAAGGCTGAAAGCATATGTTGTCATTAGTAAAATTATTGAGTGTCCTGTAGATTTGACTTGCTAGCATGTTCGGCAATCTTGGTTGGTTGTGGGTAAACTTTCCAATCTCATGTGTTTGTTTTAAACCTGAATTAATTTTTGTATAAGGTATCAAATGACAAGCCTAACTTAAATTACTACCCTGATGGCTCGTTTTCTCACAGGACCGGTCGCTGAAGACATGTTCCATTGGCAAGCAACAATAATGGGTCCACCAGACAGTCCATATGCAGGGGGAGTTTTTCTTGTCACTATCCACTTTCCTCCAGACTATCCATTTAAGCCACCTAAGGTAATGTTGGCATAAAATAAATTGCCTTTGATGGGAGCTCACTCTTTGTAGTTCAACAGTATAAATTGCTGATCCATTCTTCAGCAAGCTAGGCCATGTTATGTATCGGTTCAGATTCCATATGGTGGCACAAACTTGTGTGGATCATAATCTGGACCAAGTTTGGAGCTTGTGCTCAACTGAATTATTTAAGCCATACTTTAGCTGCTGGCTAATTTTTCTTAATCCATATGGAATATAATATATAATCATAACACCAGGTTTTTAGTTAATCATAGTAACATGATCTTGTGTGGGTCATGATATTCTTTTATGCTTATTTTCCTTTTAAGTTCTGTTGGATAAATCATGAATAATCTTTTCACATTCAAAACCTGGGCCATGTATGGTATGTGGCTCCACTTATTCCTGAAGATAAAACACATGGAACATCTTTTCACAATAGGCTCTTTTTTTTTTTTCTGGATGAAATCCATTGACATCAGTTTATGGGTTTGCACATTCTGAATCCTCATGTAAACATCATAACACTGTTATTCTGGTTGACATGTTCATGTATGGATGAGCGTCCAATAGTAGATTCTATGATTTGTCCAACTTATTGAGTCTTCTGCAGGTTGCTTTCAAGACAAAGGTTTTCCATCCAAATATTAACAGCAATGGGAGCATTTGCTTGGACATCTTAAAAGAACAATGGAGTCCTGCATTGACTATTTCCAAGGTTACTATTTCTTTTCGTTGCATCAATTATCCTTTAACAGTTGGGTTCTCTTGCTTATCCAATTTACACTATGCTAGTCATATTGGTGATGCCAGTAAGAGCAGGTGACTTAGCATCACTATAGTACAAATTATTTTTGCTATATTCATGTCTTGGCCAGTCCTTTCTGCTCAATAGATGCATAAACATTATTGGCCAGTTGGTTCAATTTGTCTGCACTGTGAGAAGGAAGGATCCAAGTTGGTCAGAATTTTTACTAAAGCCTATTAGTTAGTATAGGTGATTGCTTCATGAAACATAGAGCACAGCCTCATGAATGTGCTTGTTGTTTCTTTTGCTGTCTTACCGAAATTACATCATTGTTTCTACAAAATGGGATCAATAGCAACAATTCCTTTCTCTTACAGGTGCTGCTGTCAATCTGCTCCCTCTTAACTGACCCAAACCCAGATGACCCATTGGTCCCAGAGATCGCCCACATGTACAAGACAGATAGGACCAAGTATGAGACCACTGCAAGGAGCTGGACCCAGAGGTATGCAATGGGCTAATGTTGTCTTAGAGAGACGGTTGATGGGGGGCTTCTCTGTTATGTGTGGTGGTTGCTTCTTGTCTGTTTATTTGGAGATTGAAATGATCTGTGCCTGCTTCCCGTAATTTATTAGAAGGTTAGGAAGGAAAGCCTCCACAAACCCCTCAGGGAACATGTGTTTGATTGTTGGTATGAAAAATTTATATCTGAATCTTGAACACATTGTTTCTTGGCACATGATCTTGCTAGCACTGTCATTTGATTTATTTCATTGAAAAAGATGTCATGGTTGGTGATTGGTAAGATAATGATTGGTGCTGCTCGGTGTTTTTAGCAGTCATTTGACTCGATGCATTTGGCCTGTATACACCATATAGATTGATGCAAGAATACATATCAATAGTTGCAAGTTTTATAGGTAGGTAGAATGGTCAATGTTGTCCAAATATATTCGAGTCCAAAGTGGAAGCAGGAGAAGAGTTGCGCCATCATCACCAAGATGGGCATGTAATCAAAGAAGAAAATTGATTTCCTCGTAACCAAACATTTTAAGATTAGAAAAGGAGTAGTTACCTCTATGTTTTAATTTCCATCCTTCCGCCCAAACATGCATAACTGGGGCTTATAACTTCTGACCTCGTGACGACACACTGCATCTTAACTGGAGGATATATCCACAGATAGAAATCATTATCATTCCCTATTCTTGTGACTGATACTGGTACTAGTCAATCTAGGCATACTTACCTCATGACTTGGAGATATTTCCTGGTAGATGAAGTATGTCTATGGTAAATTGAAGAAGCTTGCTCTGCTCCCTCTGTTCCCCACCATGTGACTCGGAACATGCAATGACAACATACTTTGTCCACTACCACTTGCTGCCTGCTGCAGCACGCTGACATCTCTAAGACATTTTACATCTCAGTCACTGCTGCAGCAGTGTCATGCCTGACCAAGAGCCCTATTGTCATGAGAGGAATAATGAACATCACACGTACATCCCCATTATATTTCCAAGTCTTGCACACTGCTGCAAGAGTGAAAACCCTCAGCCAGAGACTACTACTATCACAAAGAAACGATCATATACCTCTGCCACTCAATTGAACATCTCATTGTTTGCATCAGACTCATGCCAGAACTATTTGTTGATATGAAACCAAATCAGGATTGTCCGGAAAGTATGTGAGAATCTCTTCAAGAGAAGAACACAAGCCTAAATAAATTGTATTTGAAGGATCAGAGGCATAGCCCATAATCCTAAACTGTAGCTGTAGCATCTCTTAAATCTGAACATAATAAATAGGTTGCAGCAAATGACTACAAGAACTACGACCTTTTGATGGCATTGAGCATAATAAAAAGGCACCGGCAAAAAAATTTGCAATAACAAAGCTGCTACTCAAAGCAATTCAACTACTACAAAAGAAAGATCCAACCACAGGTCCAGATCCCACTCCCTGACCAGTCCACATGCATACAAAGCAACAAAAGAAGAACCACAACAAGAATACAGTAATACCATCGTCCCCTGGCCTCTCCCAACATCAACCTTCTTCATTGCTCGGTGCAGACGATCTAGAAGAGCTTGTAGAGGGAGGAGGCATCCAGGGGGTGGATGAGGTAGGTGAGGACCAGAGCGACCATCATCAGTAGATAGGCAATGCCTTGGTCAATTGATGTCCCTGCAAAAATAGCACAAGTAGTTCATCAACTGGCCAAAGGGGCACCAGGTAATATGATTCTACTATGCAACACCATAAACCACCAAAAGGGGATTGTGCTTTGGAACAAACGGATTCGTCATATGCTACCAACGTCTCAATGTTCTAATCTTATTGTCTCAAGAGCCTCAGGATCAAGTAGTTCTCAAAGTTGCTTCTTTTGTGTTCCAAGATGATCTCCATCTATAAGGACGTGTTGAGGGCTAAACCAACAGGATTTGTAGGTGAGATTAAACAATGTATTTGACCACCTCCAGACTGCTAAGCTAACAGAAACGTACAAAGGCAGGAATTTGGCAAAGGAAACATGAACAGACTTCCTTGGAGCAAGGTAACAACAATAAAGATCAGAACTTTACCGTCTAAAGAGCCAAATCTGGGACGAAAACGAAACAAACAAGCATGAGATCCGTGTAAGAAAGCAAAAGAAAGGAAAAGAAAGAAGAACGGACCATCACTGGCAGGGGCGGGAGCCGGGGCCTGGGCCTGAACAGCCGGCAAGGCGACCGCAACGATGAAAGCCACAATGGCCACCAAACCCAGGAAAACCTTCGAAGTCGCCGCCATCGTTCTCCTCGCTCGCTCTCTCCGACAATGCAACACAAAGGAAACGCCTTGCGGTCCCTCCCGCTCACGTCGACGAGGAGCAGAGCCGAAGCGAGGAGGCTAATGGCGAACGAAACCCTAACAAACAGTGACCGAACCCTCTCCCTGTCTCTCCTTGCGCTCCTTTATATTTCTTTACTCCCATTTCTGTTATTCACCCGCCTATTTGTGGTCGCAGGGAGATAACTCACCGCGGGCCCCGCCATCTGATGGTGAGAGAATTGTCGTCCGCCCAGGGGGTGTGCTTGTTGGTTGGTTCAGTAGGGAGTTGCTGAATAAATCACTTTGGAATTACCTTTTTTCGAAGAGAAATAATTTTTTTATAGAATTTAAAAAAACTTAAAAGTTTGATATTTTTTCATACAACCTCTTAATCTAAAATTTTCTTTTTTTTATCGAGCGTCCTTAACCAAATGAAAAAAAAAAAATTACTTTTATTTTCATTGGATCCACCAATATTTTACCGCTTTCTCCTTCTTACATTGTCATCGCTCTTATGCCCTCATCAGGCTTAGGGATATCGCGAACACGGGTATGAGTGCTCATGCTAGTTTTAGTCACCTTCGCCTCTTGACCTAGGGGCATTATGCACATTGAGGAGGGCAACCGATATGGTTAGTTCGCACAGAGATAGAATGATGGCCGATAGAGGTAGAATGATTATTTAATAAAAAAAAGAGTCATTATTAGTGTGATATTCTACTCTCGTCTCACCCATACCATACATGCATGGCTAAAGTAGGATATTATTTTTTGGTTCTTTTATTATTATCAAAAGTAAAACATACTAATTTACCAAATAAAATGATAGTGTTCCTTTATATACAATGATTTTGACATTTGTAAATAATTATAACTTTTAACAAAAAAAAAACACCCACGCAATATGTCCAAAGGTTATATACATATAAATACTCATAGGTTATCATCCGTACTAGCATGTGCTCACACATGCTCACTTTCCTATCTAATCACTTCGGTGCGGTATTAATATTTTTACTTATAAAATAGAATTTATAGTGAGTAATTACTTAATAAGTATAAGCATTTATAGTTTTATTTAGGTGAGTATATATCATGTCATATATATAATGCTTCACAATTATCAACATAAGATATTTAACGGTAAACACCTCATTCTTCTTTAGCAAACATAACTCTACCACATAACATACGCAAAATAAAGAGGTAAAATCCTATATTGAAATAACTCAAAATGCTTATATTTACATATATAAAATATAATAAATTCATGGACTTATATGGACACTCTTATATCACACGTTATCATAATATATGCATCCACTTACACGTCACAAGTCATAATATATATATATATATATATATATATATATATGTACTTTCACACTATACATCATAATATATACGTGCACTCTCACATCGCACATCACAATATATATGTGCATTCCCATACAACACGTCATAGCATATACGTGCATTTCACATCACAATATATTCATGAACTCTCGCATCACACGTCATAAAAATATATACACTCTCATACCGTATATCATCATATATGCATCTATATAATATATTTTTATCATAATTTATATATTTTTATGTTTGTAAAATATATAAATTTATATTTAGCTCATGCCTAACTCGTGACAATAATATCATTTGAAATATGTTTTCTAAGATACACTATGAATATGATAATTTATACTATCATTATTTTACAGTAAATTAAACTTATATTCATTTGATTTAACTCAAAATTAAAGATGTTGAGGACGACCATGTTCCTTAATAATTGAGTGTGCTAGGGAGTAGCACATCTATCAAATTAGGAGTATACTATAATGCTTTAATTAAGAACCATGCGTCTTCAATTACTGATTTATAATAATTCATAGCAAAGTTCATAGAAAATTTTTGATAAAATCTCTAATGAAATAGACTATACTCAAATTAAAAATTTATTTAAATTTCACCATTGATTTGTTAACAATTCACTCTATAATCAATGAACTATTTGGTACCACTTAAACCATCGCCTAATTTCTATAAAGAAATTTTGCTTCACTATTTTAGTTGATCAAACGATATTGAATTATCATGAAATTTTATAAAAAAACTTGAAGATAGAGAATTAAATATAAACTAATTTTTAGCATAAAATAGAATCATTTGAAGGCTAAAGTATCCTCCTAATTCAACTACCAACATTTATTATATTATGTTGAAATTGGGTTAGAATTATCTGAACTTATAAACCGTATATTTTGTGCACATAGATAATATTCACTTAATTCCAAATTTCATAGAACCAAAACCTTTTAAAATATATCAAAACGATAGAGCATAATTATATCCCAAAATGGGTTAATTCAACTTGAATAAAAATCTTTCTCATAAAATAAAAGATTCTAAGTATCTTAGATTGGGATACTCATAATTCTGTGCATCGATCTCAAATTAAAATCATACTAGATGTTTTAGAACCATAAGAGAGTTATACAAAATATATCCAAAAATTAAATATTAATTTCAATTCTAAGATACTGTAGTTAAAAAAATAATTTATAATTTATAAAATTAAAATCCTAGATATAACAAGGGAAGGGAAGAATTGGATTTTTCTTATCTTAATATTCTTAGAGTTAGGGTTTCTTAGCCTCCATTAAAAAAAAAAAGAGAATAGTAAAAAAAAAAGAAAAAAAAAGAGAGTCGTGAGTTATAAGTTGGTAAAGAGGATGAGACCAAAATAAGATAGACACCTAAGAGATTACATTGAAGTCTAGGGCTCAATCCCATTGGACCTTATTTGAAATTTTTTTTTCTTTTATTAATATAATTATAAGGTTTCAACAACTTTAATTGAGTCTAATTTGGTTTGATAAAGATGATATTTTTTAGTCTTAACTTATTCTTTAGTTTCACTTATGTCTCTTAATATTTTTTTTAATATAACACTCATATTTGATTTATATTTTTATTTATTTTTTTATTCTATTTATGCGTAAGTAACTTATTATCCTTCATATATATGATGTTTAAAATTTAAACTTTCCTACTTTAATTATGGTAAAACTTATTCAAATTTTGAGATTCACTTAACAATGATTAAAATTCAACTGTTACTTCTAATCATTATATGCATATTTATTACCATAACTTAGTCTCATATTCATGTCCACTAGAATATTTGATCTGTTATATTGAAGGATCATGCCTTCTTGCTACAAAATATATTTAAAGTAGATATTGATGTTTATGCATGGTAAACCAAAATTTTGTATAACATTATGAAAATTATATTTTAGGAAGCATGTATTTTAATCTTAAAAGTAAAAAAATATGAGTATGTTATTTATTATATTTATAAAGCATAGAAATCTCAAATCATATCACTAAGTAAAAAAAATTAGTATGTTATTTTTTTATTTTCTCATAAGATGCCTCAAACTTTTAAATTTTTTTTATTTATTATCTCTTTTTCTTCTAAATCCCTAAATGCCTTTCATTGTTGCCTCCACCTTACCGCGAAGCCCATCTATTGAGGCCCCAACCTTGCCCCTATGACTCAGTGCAACAACTAAAAATTAAATCATTGGTAGGATGCGGTGGTGGTTAAGTTGGATGGTACTCATGAAATCTAATCCTTAACCCACTACCCTCACCCCTACTCCTTTTATGCGTCCACCCCCTCCACCTCCCTAGGATCCAACCCCTCCATTAGAGAAGCCAGGTTGCTAGATCTTAGCACCATTTGCTCCCCATCGAGTTAATAGTCGCACCTTCATCACTGTAGAAGGAGTAGCCCTGCTATCGTCGATAGACCTCGTTGCGTGCTCTCTAACCTTACCCTCATTGATGACAACCGTCTGACCACTTCTTCCCTTAATACTGAGAAAAACTCTTGCTTCTTTTCCATCAATCACTCTCTTCCCTCCTCCTCGTAACCCTTTGCCTTGTCACTAGATGGGGGATGAAGGCGGGGGTGTGGAGATCAAAGATGATTGGGAGGAAGGGGATAGGGTGGCTATTGGCGATATGAAAAGGGATGAGGCAAGGACCTCCAAAGGAGGTTTGGAAGAAGAGATAAGACTAGGGATGAGGCAAGGACCTCCAAAGGGGGTTTGAAAAAAGAGATAAGACTATAGGCATCACAGATGATGTTGAGAAGAGAAGAGTCATGATCGAATGAGGGGTGACGAGAGTGATGGTGATGGGAGTAGTCGGCATAAGGACGAAGGTTTCACGAAGACGAAAACGATGCAATGATCTCCAAAGGGGGGTTAGAAGAGGGGATAGGCTATGAGTATTACGGATGATATCGAGAAGATGAGAGTCACGATCAGATAAGTGGTGACGAGAGTGACGACGAGGGGAGTAGTCAACATCGAGAATAAAAGCTTCACAAGGGCAATGGCATCGAGAAGTTGAGTCACGATCAGATAAATGATGACGAGAGTGACGACGAGGAGAGTAGTCAACATCGAGAATAAAAGCTTCACAGGGACAAGTATATCCCCATTTTCTGGACAGATTATCAAAGCTAATACGAGTTAATCGGACCAAATCAGGATGATCATAAAAGTATAATTTTACAAATAATTTATTCATAAGATTTTGGGATCAAATGAAGCCTTCATTTTAATTTATGAACCGATAAGAAATTATCACGTGATCAAATTGAGAATATATATATATATATATATATATATATATATATATATATATATATGTTTATATTTATATTTATATTTAAAGGAAAATATATATACATAAACACATTTCCTAAACTTTGAAAGAATAGATAGGCAAAAAGCCCAAAACAAATCGATTGAAACTCAATCCAAAGGAGGTTTGACAGAACATGCTCACACTTGCACAGAAGACGTTTGGCAAGCAACTAAAAAGCAATACAAAGCCTTATACTCAATATGTAACAAAAGAAAAGGAAGGAAAGAGGAAGCCAAAAAGAGAAGAAAGTGTTCTAAGAAAGGCAACAACAGATGAGCATGGAAAAAACTGGCATGCTAATAATTGCATTCTTCTGACTTTGAGTCCCGAGCGAGCATTCTTATGGCAATATGATCAATCAATCATAAACACAGGCTGGAGGAGGGTCTACACCTTCTTTGTTGTTGAGGAATCTCACTACTATGCACGTTATATTGTCGGCACTTCCACGAGAGAATGCAACCTCTGTCAACTTCCTCGCTGCGGCCTCGGGATCCTCTTCCAATCTCACGAGTGAAACGGCATCCTGATGGATGTGAATAGCAATGGAAAAATATCAGAATTTTAATCATGAAGCATCCTCACAAAACCTAGAGGCAGTGAACAGATTGTTGAAATGACCACAAACACACAGCATTAGAGTTCACAGGTTTAACTGAAAGAAGGTACTGGTGAAAGAGGTTTAAGTGCCGTGGAGAATATCTTGAGAGAAGGATCATACAAAGTAGACTTCAATGAGTATGCAAATTTCAGCAACCTTAATAATAGAAGATCAGCTCTACTAAGTTGTCTAATAAAGCAGTATCATACGTAACAGCATATGCTTGATGTAAAAGAGACGCTCACCTCATTCTTAACAACATCCCACAACCCATCACTTGCCAAAATCAGGAACTCCAATTCGTGATCAACCACTCGTTCCTGTGGAAAATGAATTTATGATTAAGTATTCTACTGCAGTTTGTCATGATAAAACAAAGAAATCATTAAAAATTATTTTCTAGACATCTCATTACACTGAAATCAAAATAAATTATTGCCAGAGGTATAATCTGCCCCATGCAAATAATGTTTATAAAAACAGCTGCAGTATGCAGGTGGACAAGCTCTCACATAGTCCATAGGCAGAATGAAGCAGCATGAGCGACTGCACGTCTGGTTCAATTAGAATATTCATGTGACCAATATACACATGTGAAGACAGATATGACAACATAAAGTGTGTTTTAGAAAGCAACAAAAAAATACTAGAAAATGTAGAACATTGCATGTGTCATGAGGATAATTAAAAACAAAACGATCCCACTTTAAACTATCTGCAGAATACCTGAATGTCGGGCTCTGCCACAACAAATCGCTTGAGAAGGCGATTACCAAATGCTCGTGACATTGCCAATACACCACCCACCCTCCAAGTACCTGCAGGACCAGGATTCCCATAAGCAATAACAAATGATATCCCAATGCACGAGGCTCCTACCAATACAGGATCTAGGAAGGATCCTGCAAGCAGAGAGACTTTTTTTATGATTCAAACCCTAGTCACCTAGATCAGAAAGAAGCAACTTGCAGGACCAGGATTCCCATAAGCAATTCAGAGTTGTATTTTTCCATCCAAAGTCTGAGGATTCCTTTCCAATAACAATATGTAATTAGCTTAAAAAGAGATACTAAATGGATCAATGCTACTTATAATCAAATCAAATGTCCATTAAGATAAAGGCTAATAGTTCATCTGAATACAATAATTAGTATTCTACTCTACCTCAAAATTCCAGGGATTTTTTCTACTGATCACCCCTATCATCTACAAACAAGGAGCAATTTTTAATCCATCATCATGTAATATAAACACCAAAGCATAAACGATAAGTTCTATAAGAAATAAAGGGTACAAAGTGGCACATTCTATTCTAATATCTAGACTGTGAATTGAGCAATGAAACTTCATGTATGCATTTTAAAGAATGACATGTTAGAATTAAGCAAGACAAAACCAGTAGAAATGTCTTGAACACGCAGCAACGTACAGAGTAGAAGACTTACCAGTCCACATGACAAATCCTCCAGCATTCTCAATTCTTTTTCTCTCATCAATTCGATTTGGTTTGTGGTCATCAGAAAGCGGAATTGCTACAAATACGAACCAAATTCAGTTAATCTTAAAATGTATGAAATGAACATGAGTTCAAGAATCAGGTTCATATACTGAAAGGAAACAACAATAAATAAAACACATTATATCAGAAAAAAATAACAGCACAAATTCATTCTAAAACATAAAATTATGGTGTGCTGCAAAATATAAAATAAAGTTGTGATGAATGATGCACACTGGCATGTACAATTTGGTAACACTACATCATGTCGCAAGTGTGCCTATGAATGCCTGGCACACATCAGCTGCAAGCTCTAAAATAAAGTTGTGGTATATTTTTGGTAAGACACCTATGGATGCCTGGCATGTATAATTTTGGTAAGACACCATCAGTTTACTAATGTAGGTGCCTGTGGGTGCTTCGCACACACCGAGGCCAACATGTCCTGACATGGTCCGGCATGCTATATTGCAAGAATATATGCCAAGATGGCTATAACTGATTAAGCTGCTCAGCAGTCCTTGGAAAATTAATGATTACATATCGCCTCCCCAAATTTTTTACATCTTTCATCGTTGTTAAATAACTACCATTGACAAAAAAATGAAGAATAATAAGAACTCCATAAATGTCAAGCTTTCTTAAATTGTTCTCATACTGTTAAAAAAAAATGGTAGTTAATCAACCATTTCTACAGTGTCAAGATACATAGAAGTTCCATATTTGGTGTTCCACAAGCCGTAAATTATGTGTTTTGGCCAAATGCTGATATGACAATAGAAGCACTTGTCAACCTACCTTTTGAAAATGCCTCAATTTCACAAGTGCTACTGACTAGAATGCCCTGGAACACCAACAATGGTCTCATTCTAATTGGAGTAAGCCAATTATGGGCCTTCTCTGTGCCTCTCCATGAAAGTATTACCTTGTTTATGTTATAGGAAGAAAAGAAAGGCCGGTTGTTATCTGGAGCTGTTTTGCTTTATTGTTGTAAGATAAAATATTTGTAATTTCTCACAGAAAAGATCAGACATTTTTAAACCTTGCAAATGCAGTCATGTGAATCCTTTAAATTTGCATGAAGTTCCTGTCCAACACACAAGAAAATTTGGCACAATACAATGACAAAGAACTGCTAACCAAATCATAACTAACTTTATTGTTCATAAATGACCCCCCAAGAATATGTTCTATAAAAAGAAACATGTAGAAGATTTTAGATATCAGTGGAAAGAACCTTTTCCTGCTTTCGATATAACAGCACGTGAATCTCCAACATTTGCTACATACAAGTGTTTGCCAACCAAGATTGCTGTCGAAGCTGTAGAACCATCATCTCTGGAAGTATTGTTTTCAGCATCTAAGAAATCTGAATCAGTTCTCTGATATGATTCATCTGCAGTTTGTCATTTTCCAAAAAAATGACAATCATTTAACAACTCTATGCAATGCATTAAACATATGATAAAGTAAATTCAAAAGCTTGACAATACTTATTGCAAGTTTTATGTCTGTCAAGAACTTTGGATGCTTCATAAGGTTGTCAAATAAGTGCTCCTTCAGATATTCAGCAGCACGTGAGCCTCCATGACCTGCAATACCAAGTTATGCATAAAAATTCAAATATTTCATATTAAGGACAAGCAAAAGTACAAAAGTAAGAAATCTAGCAGACCATCAAATATTCCAAAGAAATTAATTGTTTGGCCATCAATTTTAGCTGATTTTACATCAAAGAAATCCTCCATGTTTACTCTCTTTCCCCTGAAGCTTGAATATCCACAATTTAATTTCCCATCATCACTGCAAATAAGCCAAATGATCAATCAAACCAATTTTTCAAAGAACTAAAATCAGAAACTTATTTAAATATACACAAACTTTTATGCTGATATTTTGATAGCCACAGAGCAGCACAATTATATACAAAGAAACCTCGCAGAACATTATGAAATTTATAACCTTTGCAAAACTGCAAAAGTATTTTCCTACAGAAGTTTCTGCAAAACGATGACTATAACAGTAAAATATGGCAAAGCTACATAATGTAAGTTATGTCCTTGAATACAAAATGATTATTTATAGGTAACCATGACAACCTATAATGAGGCATGCCTTTTTAAAATAGTTAAGTCATGACATCTTTATACAAAAATATCAAATGCTTCTTCGCTTATATTTTAAAACATCACTTATCAAATTACCAATGCAGTGGGGTGAAAGCCATCATGACAGATGAAAACACAGACTACTAAAATCTTTCTCTCTTTCAAACTTGATCATTTAAGGAGATTAGTTAGAAAAGATTTCACTAGGCTTGTCTTCTCCAAACACAGCTTTCAATGGTATACATCATGATTCGCGTTGCTGATCCATACCGATGTACTAACCAGTTCTCGGTACGGTACATACCAAACCATACCAAGCTTACCGACATACGAAACATGGGAGCATACTAATATACCTTCGCATTAGTTCCCTATCAGACCAGTATATACCACCCGTACAGAGTGATATGCCACGATAATATTAGCTTAAGCCATCAGGTATAGCACAGTTGGCTTAAGCCATGTTTTTCAACAAGGCATGCTAAAAAAAAGAAGAGAAAAGAAAATGAATATGTAGGCAAAAAAGATCTCCTAAAAGCAATAATGCAAAAGGATTAATGCAACTATCCAAACAACCCATTAAAAAATGATACAAGAACATGAACATGTATAGTGGGGTCTGGCTATGGTATTTATGTATTGCAATAGTTTGTATTTGAACATGGTCATATCGGTTCTACAATCTACATATAGGACAGAATCAAATATCTCATTTTTAAAACTAGGAAACACAAAATCTAGTATTTCTTTTGATGATATATATTACATGGTCATAGCAACATGCAACACTACCTGAACATATAATCCATGGGCATTGCATATAAAGAATACCTGATCCTTAATAGCTAATATTTGTACTCAAGCCATGTCTAATTAAGAGAAAAAATTCAAGGCTAAGCACATTTCATCAATGATCCAGATATGGTGCCTTAACACATCTGATATTTGCTAGAAGTCTAACATAAACATATGTTGTTCTTAACCAATAAAGATTTTATGTTTAGAACTATGTATCCATTATTTTTCAAAAGAAATCTAATTTTATGCAATGGACATCTTAGGTCAATATCAAATTGATTAAAGCCCCTCACATTATAAAACAAATAGCTGCCGAAAGCAGTAGGCTGAAGTCCTATAAAAAATTTGAGGCAGTCACTATGTTGCATTGGTTTTTATGTAAATGGCAATTCTGATATGGCACCCGGTACAGAATGTCTGACAATTAAGGAATAACTTAAAAACATCTCCATCACTGAAACAACCTGACTAAGATGCTGCCACTTTCACTTGCTGAACTAATAACTGGCTAAACATAGAATCACTTGTTAATTTTAGAAAGATATTTTTAGTTTTCAGTAGGTCTCCTGAAAATTTTTAAATGGTAACAACATCATCCACTTACTAGCATAAATATACTGGCATTACAAACACTTCATGATAATCCTGTGGCTAATTTTCTTCCACCTGAGCAACACCAACCTAGATCGATCCTGCATGCCACCTTTCCTTATCTCAGATGGTAAAACATGAGAGGTCTTGGGTTCAGTCTCTATCGTGTGTGAAGTGTGCATTTTGTCCAACGCTACAGTCCATTCAGTGTGTCAACTCTTCCCAAATGATTGGACCATCCACACAAAGCCAAACTGGTCCTGTACAGCATTAAATGTCGATGAATTCCTCCACAGATAGTGGAACGTCGTCCGAATGCTAAAGTAAAAACTAAATCGCCTAGGACATTGACGATCATCGAACTAGATCGTGAGTATATTTTAGCAATAATTCCAGGAATTTACCTTCTCCATGCTCCAGTGGCATAACCCCCATCGCCCACCTCGTCCTTCTCGGGCAACAGATGAGAAGCAGCTCGGGGATTGACGGCACGACCTGAATCAACCATCATACCTGCCGCCGCCTCGACTCTCCGGTGCTTCGAAGGACACTTCACCCCGAGTTTGTTATCCTTGCCGCGCTTCAAGCTTTTGACCTGCCCCTCTCCATCGGAAGTGGAATGCACCGAATTCTCTGCGCGATTTCCCTCATGCCAGCAGCATACCATCCAATCGGGCCGATGATCGCCTGCAACACCGAAATACTCCATTCGGCATAAAGAAACAGAAGAAATGACGAAATCCGGAGACCATTCTACCGGAAATGGGAAAGAAAGATCCACCTTTTCCGCAAACAAACAAAAATTCCACAAGAATCATACATCCACATCCATCGTTGATCATAAGATTAACAACTTGATGTAGAAAAAATATCAGCGAAACCGTAGATTAAGAGCGATGAATGAGGAAACCAACCTCGATCGGATCGTCGTCGATGCAAACAAGATTAGGGTCGTATGGATATGGAGAAGATTTGGGAGAGCGGGGGGTGGGGTGACGACGCAGGGAGCCCCTTCGGAGGAATAAGGGGGTTCAGGTTGAGCGTTTCCTTTTCCCACCCGTTTTGGGGGTCTACCCGTTTTAGACGCCTTCCCGTTGATAAGAGACGGAGGCGGCCCCACCGGAGGGGGGGGCCCAATCCAGCGCCCTCGCTGCACCCGACCAACTCATTAAGGCAGGTGAGATGAGACGCGAACGATGGACGGAAAGATGCGGTGGGTAATTTGCTGTCCTTTTGATCCGGGTCATTTTGTTATTTTCTTTATTTTTATTTCTCTTAAAAAAAGCGATTTTTTTTTTAACGAAAGAGAAAGAAGATAACGTAATTTAAAATTTTCGAATCAACAAATATTAACTATGATTAATATCAACTAATTGAAACTAGAATAGACATACTAAACATAAAAACATTTTTATAAATATTTATAAAGAGTATTACAATTTATTCCAATTCTGTATATCTTCTGTAATTGGTTATGCTTATGTAATTAATTCATGTAGGAATTTAATGGATGTCATTAAGCTAGCAGCCCTCCCCCACAAGCTTACAAAGAACATCTGCTAGAACTGTACAACAGAAGAAATGACAACAGTAAATGGATGGTGGAAACACTTGAATAGAGACAGAATTGAGTATTAGCGAAAAATGCAAATCATAAACATAAAAGCAAGAAGAAATGACCACTTAACACGGGGAAAGCATCATCTCCAGTCTTTACTGATGTCTATTTATATTGGGAAGACAATAGATTTTACCTCTTGACAGAGAGTGGCAGAACACGAGGGCCATAGCCACAGGCAGAATTGCGAAGAAATTAAGCAACTCAATCTCGGAAACTTGAGAGAGACTAATTTCCAGAGTAAAACTCACATGGAAAGCTTTAATTCTAATGCCTACAGCAGCATGGATGATTTGGTACTATTACACATATGCTTCATGTTACCTGAAAGCTATTTTCCGGAGTAGACACGTATTTAAAACATCACCACTGAAGCCTCCAGCAGCATCAGTGAATTTGATGCCCCTAAAGATGATGCTTCATGTTACCTCAGTATATTAATAGTAAACTTCAGATGATGCACAGTTTATGAAAGGAATGTTAGGAAGAAATCACTACAATGAAATATACGTGAAATTGGTCAATACAAGCATCTATCTCATCAAAAACATTATCTTGATAAATTCAAAACCAACAAAACTTTCTTCAGCTTATTTATTGTTAACAATGAAATATACACAAACCCATAACAGCTTCTCACTTTTGAAGACATTTCCACCTGCTTTTCTCCTTCTGGTTCATAATTGCATTTATGCTGTCCTAGTGTGCCAGATTCATGATTCTCTCATCATCACCCAGAGTATTTGCGTCAAGCTCCATTTCGACTCCCATTACAATACATGCTATAATACTCACGGAGAAGTGAGAGGCCGAAAGAGCCATGGTGTTTGGAAAATCTGCCAACTCAAGTGAACTTTGGCAAATATTGTAAAGTTCTCACATAAATTCAAACACACAAATTACCTCTTCCAGCCAATCACAACAGAATTACTGTTGATTCAACAAGATCCAGACACCTTTTATTTCTATTATCTGCTAAACTTTCTCTAACACTCTTAACTAATGTAAATGATTATACACTTCAATTACCCTGCCAAGAGGCAGAGAACACTCCCTCTTCGAATCCTCTAAATGATACTCATTCTCTATATTAGGTTAATGGGAAGATCCATGATAATGACTGAAAATCTAAACATAACAATCTTCAAATGCTCTGTAAAAATTTAACCATCGATAGGCAACATGCTTCTACTGAAAATGAACCTAAATGAATGAACAAAAGATATATGATGTGACATTTCCTATAAAATCAGACATTCAAAAACATATTTTTGGTATATAGAACAGTATTGAAGCTTTCATCCATTTTCTTTTACTTCTTAACAGAAGAAATTATAAGCTTGAAGAAAATTATTATGCAAGCACAAAGCAAACTGAAGAAACAGACAACAAAAAATTTCACAAAAATGATCACCAGTAGTATCATAAGTGAAGCTAAAGGATGACACTGAAAATGAAAAAAGAGGAAAGATCAAACCCAACAAAAAACCAAAATGCCATGAAGTGTATTCCCAAATGGTAATCCACTTCATATGTTGCTCGGATACATGAAAACCCTAACCCGTCCACCCTGCAATCCGAAATCAGAACGAAGTCAAGGAAAACACAACCTTTAGCAAGGGTTAGACCTAATAGAGGCAAAAAACCAAAGCATCGATATGAATCTCACCATGGATTTTGGCGGGAGATTGGACTTGAACTTCGCGCGGACGACGCCGCTGTTGCCGTGAGGGCGAGCAACCTTACCCCAGATGCACCGGTACTGGGTCCCCTTGTTCTTCGTCTTGGCCTTGTAGATGTACGCCATTCTCTTGCCACAGTACCACGCGACCTCCTCCTTCGTGTTCACCCCCTCGATCTGGACCAGCGAGGTGTTCTCGTACTGGTTCGACTTCGACCTAATTCATCACATCGAAATCCGATTAGAACAGAACGTTAAATACGAAGATGCAGATGGCGAATCCGAACTCGACTTGCCTCTTGTATCCGAGTATCGTGCCCCGGACATACAACCTGCGATCGAGATCAAGGATGACAGGAACAGAATAAGCACTTGAAGTAGAAGAAGAAGAAGAAAATGAAGAGGAAGATGTTTGATTCGCACCTGACGCGCTCGCCTTGTCGGCCCTTCACCATTTTCGCAGACGAGACGGAGAAACCCTAGTCGGCGTCGTTTCTGCACAAGCGCGGTCTGTATTCATAGCTACGGATTGGACGGTCTAGATCGCGTGATTGAATCGCGGACGGTTCAGATCGCGTACCCCTGTTTGGCCTCGAACGAATCGTTGAATCACCCGTTGAAACTTTCTGGGTGATGTGGGATCTGGACCTGAACCACATATGGACCCTGACAATTATCAGGGGTGATTCAGCTCACCACGTATTCTCTATGGCAAACATGCCAAGCACGTGCCAGCACCAATTACACGTTAGTAGAACCTTCACCTTCCCCACTTTTCTTGTCGTCTTCAAATGTGATGACACACTTAATGTTCATAGGGAGCCGGTAATGTTCATGTCAGATGAGCGTTGAATCCTACACAACCAAGTCAAGAGAGACTCCTAATAAATGTCAATGACAAGTTAAATTGAAAAGTCAATATCCCTACATCATACCTATAGGCTCTTTTTTATAGTGGTTAACTTGGAACTGTTACACTCATTTATTGGTAATAATAGAGGGTGTGAAATTTAGCTGAAACCATAACCACCCAGTGCCGAACTTGGGATTGGGTAATTGTCTCCACGTGGTACTCATGGAATGGACAAATTCGATCGTTTTGGGTCCAAGTGGCAGCAGGCTACTGGCTCGCCAGCCATACAGAATTAATGTCCTTTGCACCGACCGTTATGGCCAGCTGGTCAGTCACGTGTCCCTAATATGTCGGCCGGACAAGGCTGACACATCGGCTGGAGGAATTCTGCCATATCAAAAACAAAGATGAAATTTTCAAGGCCATACAAGTATGAGACAGCCATTAGGCTGCTGTTATGCTGTAAGCCATGGTCAACAGATCCAAGCTGTTCTGATACTTTCAGAGATCAATTTTGCATCTTTTATTTGAACAATGGAGAGAACTTAACACTGTTTCTAAGCCACAATACAGCTTGTGAAAGACAAGAACAGAAACAAATACAACTCCAAAACGCATAAATACGACGTCGTTCAGCTAGATAATTAACACTACTTACTTTACTGCACAACAATATCTCAAACTTGGATTCAACCAGAAGATACAGTCGGCCGGACTCACTAGCTGGATACTTAACTAGTTGGTTTTAGAACTGTCCTGTTACATCCTGGAGTGAAGCGTATCTATGCAACTGCAACACCGTTCTTCGTGGCATTAGTTTCATCTCTCATTAGGTACTTGTCGACATGAGAGGCTGCTTGTCTGCCCTCGCTGATGGCCCAAACGACCAGTGACTGGCCGCGCCTACAATCGCCAGCGGCAAATACTCCTTCCACATTGGTTGAGAAGCATCCGAAATCTGCTTTGAAGTTTGAACGGTTGTCTCTTTCCACACCCAGTTGATCAGCAATTGTCTGCAAGCATAGTAAGTCTTAATCTGACTGATTATAACTACAAGATTATATCTGACAAATTTGGTATGTAGGAAAAGTGAAACAACATTCAGCGGTTGGTAAACAAAAACAAGCTGGTTGTATTCTGATGTTGTCGAATATTGCATAAACAATGAGGCTTACTACAAATAAAAGGCCACCTAAATCCAGATCATCACCATTAAAACAGCATGTCAAAATTACAGGCACAAGAACCAGATCTTATGAAAACTGTGTAGAATATAAACACAAATGTTACTTGAATCCATCTAGTATGTCATACTAAATATCTAGCTAAAACTTGGTTGCTCCATCAGATCAGCACTCGATTGGTTGGAAATATCCTATTACATCTCAACTAACAAAGAACAGGTCTCTTTGGACACCTAATGGTGCCAATGAACATGAAATTTTTTGCTTGTTGAGCCTCACAGATTAGCTGAACACTAGGGCCACCATGATCAAGAAGGCTTGGCCATTGATGGAGAATGTGAATGTGATCTGGAGGACAGGGATCATTCATCTTTATATTGTAGCTTTAGAAAACATTAATGGTCTTGTTTCAAAAAACCCTTGGAACTGTCAACTCGACATGTCTAATGCTTAACAATTAATTAGATCTTCGGGGAGGATGAGAACAAACCAAAAAGAGAACAATTAATTAAAGTTTTTAGTACTCTTTTCTTCAACTACACAAACAGAACCAGTTTTCTGTAGTTTTTCCTATGTCTGTTCCTTTCATTCCTCTTTAAGTGAACTCTCATCTAGTATTTCTTCTAAAAGTTACCAATATTATCTTCATAACTGAGCAGTCATTACCATTCTAAATTATCCAATGTAATGCCACACGGAATACTGAATTAAGTGACAGATAACATTAGAAAACTTACCGATTCTGGGCCAAGGAAACCCATAGCCAATAGGACTAGATCAGCCTCAAATATCTTTTCAGAACCTTCGACTTCCTTGAACTGTAATCTTCCTCCACTATCTTTTTCCCAACACACTTGTACCACCTCAAGGCCTTTCACAACTCCATTTTCATCTCCCACAAATCTCTTTGTCAAAACCTGATATGATCTCGGGTCTTTTCCAAACTTGGCGGTTGCTTCTTGGTGACCATAATCTACTCGGAAGATCCTAGGCCACTGCAAAAGACAAAAGCTAATTCAGAATAAATGTCACTTCTAGTCAAATAGAAGAGGGATAGAACAATTACTATGATCCCATAAAGAAAAAGATACATCTATATTATTAAAAAAAAAATATTTAACCTGGGGCCATGGGTTGCCAGGTGCTCTTTTTCGGGGAGGTATAGGAAGGAGTTCCAAGTTTACAATATTGGTACAACCATGTCGGATGGAGGTCCCAATACAATCTGTTCCTGTATCTCCTCCGCCTACCACAACCACTTTCTTATCCTTGGCAGATATGTATTTACCATCATCAAGATTGCTATCAAGCAAGCTTTTGGTGTTTGCATGAAGAAATTCCATGGCAAAATGAATACCAGAGAGCTCCCTTCCAGGAACTGTCAGATCCCTGCACAATAAGTATTCTCAGTGCATCAGCATTCCTTTGCAGATGTCATACTCTCGTTATGGCCTTTATAATCAAATGCTTTTTACAGCAGAGATTCCAATGCTAACTAATTTTGAATAGAATTTATTATTCAGGATTAAAAAGCTACAGACAGGAAATATTATAAGAAAAATAGAACATTGTATGCATAAAATATAGCAAGTCATATACAGCACTCAAGCTGACGTCAACGAGGTCATTCTGACTCTGGCCCGATGGATAATCAACATGAACACATAATACACGTCTGAAAGAATTCCTGGTAAATGAACAAAATTGGAACTTTCTGGTTCCTATGTGGAGAATCTGAAATATAGCAGGGCAATTTTCACTCGTATAAGGAGGTTGCTTGTCACATCAACATATTCTGAAGTCCATTTGCATGTTCATTTGTAGAAATATTCCACAAAGTTTCCACAAAGCAAAAATGTAAAATTCATAAAAATGTAAAATTCTTAAACAACATCAATCAGTTACCTAGGTTTTGTAGCTCCACAAGCCAAAACTATTGCATCGTTTTCGGCACGAAGATGGTCAAGGGAGTACAATGGATCTACTCCAACATTGGCATTGACCACAAACTTAACACCTTCCTCTTTCATTAGGTTTACACGACGTTGAACAATGTAAAACTTGTCTGCCTTCATGTTGGGAACTCCATACATCATTAATCCCCCCATACGGTCAGCACGCTCATAAACAGTTACCAGGTGACCCATTTTGTTTAGCTGATCAGCTGCGGCTAGACCAGCTGGGCCACTACCAACTATGGCGACCTTCTTCCTGTATCAGTGACAAGCATTCACATTTTCTTACATTTCATCATGAAACAAAAAATCATTAATTGATAATTAAAATCACATTATATCCACGATAATTCTACACTTTAATTGAAGATCCATGATATTATAAGCGTAAAATGATTTGGTAGCACAGTTGAATTTTTTTCTAGTTAGAAAAGCCAATACAAGTTTAAACCAGTTGGGACAGTACAAAATAAATGATTGAGTAGTTTACCTCACCTCTAAAATGACTAGCCATAAAATTTACAAAGAGAATTTGGCGACAAGCATGGGTAAACAAATAAACCCATGGATGGAAACTAGTTACCTTTGCAAACTACAGGCAGTTTGCAGTGAGAGCACGGTTCATGCTTACTATGAAGAAACTAGATGGCTAAATGGCACTGGTGTAGAAGCTGCTGGTATTTCTACTGAGTTTCACATCCGATAATTTTTTTAGTTTCACACAGGAGTAACAGAAGATGTATATATTTTTTTCATACATTAAGAAACTCTTCTGGAATATTCCATTTATGGTCAGGCACTGTTATCATAAATCATGGAGTATCCTGATATCATGATGCTAAAACCATAAATTTCTAAATTAAAATTTTCGAACGAATCTTATTAATGATATTGGGAAAAGGCAATTTGATTATTTTGGTTACTGCATAGTGCATACAACATTAAGTAGTCTGCCAAATTGTCCGTTGAAGAAAAGAGGACTTTAAAATTCATTCTCCATTGGAAAAAAAAAAATCATTCTCCACATAATTATTCTGAGAATATTATACCTCCTAAGTATTAACTAAGCACACAAATGCAACCATTTGAATCCCCCCTCTCTAAGGAAGGAAAGGAAACACAAAGCATAAAGACAAAAACATCAAAGAATTGAAAAGACAGAAAAACTGATAACTGATGTGTGAGAAATGGCTTGATTAAATCATAATTTATTAGTCAAAAGAAAATGTTTTTTCCTCCAAATGGAACACAAATCAAACCATGAGACAAGTGTAGTAGCATTCTGTGACTTTATTTAGAAGTAGAGCTTACCAAAAGAAGTTGAAGAAAAGAATGGGATTAAATGGCTAACAACCTAAATGCTACAGAAAACATGACAGGATGCAAAGTGATCTTATGATAATTGGATAGCACAAGAAAAGAATCATTACCCAGTTCTCCGTTGTGGAGGTCGAGGTTTCACCCATCCTTCCTCAAAACCTTTGTCAATGATGGCACATTCTATACTCTTAATAGACACAGGGTTCTCAATGATACCCAGAACACAAGATCCTTCACATGGAGCAGGGCAAACTCGACCAGTAAATTCTGGGAAGTTGTTTGTTTCTAGGAGTCGATCTAAAGCTTCACGCCACCTATTTTGGTGGACAAGTTCATTGAATTCAGGTATCTTATTTCCAAGAGGGCACCCAGATTGATCCTGCAGGTTGGGAGAAAATTTAGAAGGACAACTTAAATAATGATGCTCGAAGTGAATAATTTTTTCCTAAAGCATTAAGTTTAGAGATCCCTATCATATCTAAAGAAAACCTCAAGTATTTCTAGAAAATAAACTTTTGTATATAAGGTTGTAGTGATGCCAGACATGAATTATATTGAAAATTTAACAGCTGGAAGTATGACTACCATAAATTGAACCAAAGATTATATTATATTCATGTGATTAGTTTTGAAAAGTGACCATGATTCCATTGTAAAAAGTGCAAACAAAAGAAGATAAAAAGAGAGCCCAGGACTGTTAACATATATCCTAAAATAAACTTTGTCAAGTGCCATTTGATATAACAAAACATGATTTAAGATACCTGATGACAGAAAGGGGTTCCACAATCCATGCAACGGGCAGATTGGGTTTTTGTAAGTGGCCCAGGCTTCAACTCCACAGCAACTTCCTTCCAATCTTTAATTCGATTATTTGGATCTCTATAAGATATGCCGTGACGCTCATATGCAAGAAAACCACGATGCTTAATAGCATTATCAACCTGTGTTGGCCTATTCGTTGTCTCCTGACCAACGTTTTGTCCATCCAAAAATCAGTTTAACAACTTATTCAGTGACAAAAGGAACCTTACAAACACTACAGCTCTCAGATAAAACTAGTATTAATCAGCTACATATAGGAAACTGCAATATCAGACAATTTTGCCAAATAGAAGGGACAGTTTTTTAATTCTGATATAAGAGAGAAGATTAATTATCCTACATCATGGGAAAAGGATGAACTCAAATTAATCTTAATAAATCATTCAAATAAGGTTTACCTTCTTATCAGAACGTTCAGTTGCCAACTTAGATACTGCAGAAACATCCTTCATCAGCTCTTTTTTGTCTTTTTTCTTGGCTTCTTTAGAAGCTTGCTCTGCCTTTAAATTCTGAAGTACCCCCTTATAATCTCGAGGAAATACCTTTACAAACTTGCACAGTAGATTGTTAAAATTGGACAGGATTTCCTTCGCTAACTGACTTTTTGTATGGCGCTGATGTTGCTGTATCATCATTCTTAGTGTTGTAATGTCCTCTTCATCCTCAACATTTTCAAGATCAACTAGCTCAAGGTTGCATCGAGCTTCAAACTTCCCATCCACATCAAGGACATAAGCAATTCCACCACTCATTCCAGCTGCAAAGTTCCTCCCAGTTTTCCCAAGTATAACAACAATACCACCAGTCATATACTCGCATCCATGATCACCAACACCTTCTACAACTGCTGTAGCACCCGAGTTACGTACGCAGAACCTCTCCGCTGCCATTCCATTAAAATATGCCTCCCCTTTTATAGCTCCATACAAAGCAACATTACCAATAACTATGTTTTCCTTCGGATCAAACTTACTTTCTCTTGGAGGATAAACTACAATCTTGCCACCAGATAACCCTTTCCCAACATAGTCATTGCTGTCTCCTTCAAGCTCAAGTGTGATACCAGGGCAAAGAAATGCCCCAAGACTCTGACCAGCACTTCCATTTAGCCTAATGTGGATTGTATCAGGAGGTAATCCTTTCATATGGTAGAGTTTAGTGACTTCATGGCTAAGCATGGTGCCAGCAGTACGATTTACATTATAAATTGGGGTCTCAATAAATACAGGCAAACCTTTGTCCAGAGCAGCTTTTGATAGAGTAATCAGTTTTTGATCTAATACCAAGTCCAGACCATGATCCTGTTTCTGAATGCAATACTGAGAAGCACCTGGCCTAATTTCAGCTGCCGGTTTAAGCAGTAATGAGAGATTGATATTTTTCAATTTTTCATTGCTCAAAATGACTTCTTTATCAACCTCTAACATGTCCACACGGCCAATCATCTCATTAACGGTTTGAAAGCCCAGCTGGGCCATGATCTCACGGACTTCTTCTGCCAACATGAAGAAAAAATTTATAACATGCTCAGGTTGCCCTGCGAATTTTTGACGAAGAACAGGATCTTGAGTGGCTATGCCAACGGGGCAAGTGTTCTTATGGCACTTCCGCATCATAATGCAGCCAAGTGTTATAAGAGGTGCAGTACTGAAACCAAACTCTTCTGCACCAAGTAGAGCAGCTATGGCAACATCCCGTCCAGTCTTAAGCTGACCATCAGTTTGCAAGACTGCTCGCCCACGAAGGTCATTTGCAACAAGAGTTTGATGTGTCTCAGCCAACCCAAGCTCCCAAGGAAGCCCTGCATTTTTAATGCCAGTCCAACGAGAAGCTCCAGTACCACCATCATGGCCAGATATCAATACATGGTCTGCGTGCCCTTTTACAACCCCACTAGCAATTACCCCAACGCCAGCCTCAGAAACTAGCTTAACGCTAATTCGAGCTCCTGGATTCGAATTCTGCGTGAGAGAAGAGAGACTTACTATCAAGATGTAAAAGTACAGACATAAAGCAAATACCATAATTATGTTATCATGCTTGTGATGGCTCCTTAAATGATATCAATAACAGAGAAATGGGACCACGCTAAAAGGAAGAAAAGGGAGGGGTACCTCTGACAATTTTTTATGGAGCAGTAACTTCCATTAATCAGTGACAAAGACATACCAAATGATTCACTTAATTACCTTAAGATCAAAAATTAATTGGGCAAGGTCCTCAATTGAGTATATATCATGGTGGGGTGGAGGACTAATAAGCCCTACACCAGCTGTAGAATTTCTTGTTACTGCAATATCACCAATGACCTTATGTCCAGGAAGTTCACCTCCTTCTCCTGGTTTAGCACCCTTGCAACAGAAGCAAACCAAAGAAAATCAAAAGAGGTATATAGCAACAGGTTAAGTTATAGCAACATAAATCACACTTAATGTGAAAGGTATGCATCATTTATAGATACAAACACAATTAGGTACTCTATCATGGTTATTGATTTGTGAAAAGGAGAAACTATTTTTCTATTAGAAAGAGAGGACCACTAAGGTGGCAGATGTGTTTATTAAGGAGTTCAAATTAAAGGAAAAGTTATAAGCACAACAAATTTGTAGCAATTACCTGTGCCATCTTTATCTGAAGCTCATCAGCATTGGTAAGATAGTATATTGACACACCAAATCTTCCACTTGCCACTTGCTTAATTGCACTCCTCTTTGGATTCATTGAACCATCTGAAAGAGGCTCCATACGTGAAGGTTGTTCACCTCCCTCACCTTCATGAAAGTTACACACAAAATAAGAATAAAATTAACACTACTCTAATACTAAAATCATTGTCACTCAAAGATTAACCATGTATAATCTAGGAAGATGAAGCGGACAAACCAAGTTCACTCAAGATCAGGTCAAGTCAAGAAAACACAATTGCAATATGAATATAGAAAAAATCATCATGTAAACCACTATCTGGCACATGACAATTACATACATATTGGTAAAATATTGATTATATATAGATATTATACACAGAAAATTAAGTCAATTGATGATTCCAAGATTAAAATATTGCAACAACATGATTTTTTCAAAAGAAAAAAAAAACAGAAAGGTCACAAGACTTGAACGTCAAAGGGTAGAACTTAATGAGCTACTATGACAGGAAGATTGGTTACCCTTAAACTTTAAATTTGACACTAAATCATTATCTATTCTCTACGTCGATGCTAGTTATCAATCAAGGTAGCATCAAGCACGCAGAAAAAAATGGTTACTTGATTCATCGAGTGAATCATGGACTGGCAAAACAGATAAGGATGGAAAGGCTCCTAATCATATATAAAATTATTCTAGACCAATGTTCCATGCAACCTACCCATAAAGTTTGCATATGACTAAGATATTTAAAATAAAAAAGGACATTAGAAGCTGAAAGAAGATTCTGGAGTTGTAAAGTAAGCTCATACCAGTGTTAGATTTGCCTCCAAGTTTGTTCATTGCAATAGCTAGAGTTGTATGTGCTTCTAAAGATATTGAACCATAACTCATTGCACCAGTACAGAAACGCTTCACAATTTCCCTAGCAGGTTCCACTTCATCCAAGGAAATTTTTCCAGTGACATCTTTAAACTTCAGCATACCACGCAAGTTGCAGCCCTTATTCAGCTGCTGTATCAGTTTAGAATATTCTTTGTATGCAGCCACACTGTTAGATCGGGCTGCCTCTTGCAACTTTGCAATTGCAAGGGGATCATTAAGGTGCAATTCACCCCCTTTCCTCCAGTGGTAATCCCCAGGATTAGGAAGTGCTACTGCTTCTGCACTACCTGGAGGTAAAGCTCTCATTGGAAATGCTAATTCATGAAGGCAAAGAGCATCTCCAGCAAGACTTTCAAATGTTGCACCCTCAACTCTGCTTGGTGTTCGTTTGAAGCACTTCTCGATCACCTCAGATGAAATACCTACAGCTTCAAAAATTTGTGCACCTTTGTATGATGCAAGAGTGGATATCCCCATTTTGGCTATGACTTTCATCATTCCATAATTGCTTGCTTTAAAATACTTGTTGACAAGATCCTCTCTGGAGTGAAACTCACCATCTTCTTTTGGAGGGATCTTTCCATCAATTTGCAGTCGCCAAATTGCTTCTATAGCCAAATATGGGCATATGGCATCTGCACCAAATCCAACTAGGGTACAAAAGTGATGCACTTCACGAGGCTCTGCAGATTCCACAATCAATCCAATGTGTGTCCTCTCTAGTGTTGAGACTAGATGTTGATGAACAGCCCCAACTGCTAACAGAGAACTAACAGCAACATGCTCTGATGAAAAACCTAATAAAAATTTAAGAAGAAAGATTGACTGGTTAGCATCAACAGAATGCATGTCAGCATAAGAAAACCAACAAATATCATGTGAGTTGAAGACTAGATACTACAAAAGCAAAGAAATAGAAATAAAATAGTTTTCTGAATGACAAAGCATGTAAGTATCAACAAAGCATTCTTAGAAACAAGCATGATACTGAGAAATAAGAGCTAAGGATCATAAGAGAAGAAAAACCAAGAGAACTAATTCTAACACAATTTTAATCAATAAACTATCTTGGAAGGAAAAGTTATGACTTCAGAAACATCAATCAATTCTCACCTCTGTCAGACAAGACAATTGTTGTATAACCATCACCAATAGCCTCGCGAACTTCAGAACAAATCCTATCCAAAGTCTGCTCTAGACCTTTTCGGCCATGCTTTTTTGGATATGTGATGTCAAGAACTTTGCTGCGCCAACCTCTATAGTCCATTTTTTTTATAGCTTCCATTTCTTCTATGGAAAGAAGAGGCCCCTTCAAAGAAAGGCGATTGCACTGTTTTTCTGTGGTTTCCGTGAGGTCACCTTCTGGACCGATCATACATTCCATAGAAGTTACAATTTGCTCCCTTATTGGATCAATTGGAGGGTTTGTGACTTGCGCAAACATCTGCTTAAAGTACTCAAATGTCAGTTTCTCTCTACCTGACATCACAGCCAAGGGAGTATCATTTCCCATTGAGCCAAGAGCTTCACTGGCATCTTTTGCCATAGGCAGCATCAGCATCTCCAAAGTTTCTACTGTGTAACTGCAGGCACAAATTTCAAAATGACTACTTTTGTTCATGTACATTGTAACAATAACATGGGAGAGTTAAGTTGTAACTTACCCAAAGGCCTTAAGTGGTGCCAAAAGACCACTAATTCCTGTGTTCTCAATTTTCTCATCACCCTGGAACTAAATATATCAGAAATTCAACCAAGGTCTATTTACTCAGTGAAACAAAACAAGCAGTATCAAACGTACCAGAACTGCTCCGAAAATGCATGGAGGAACCATGTCACTTTTGGAAACAGAATTGACAATGTCTTCAAGACAAATCTTCTGTCTCTTAAGCCACTTTCCATATGGTCTAGCTTGTGAGTACTGTCTCTTCAGTGCCTCATCATCAACAACAATGCCATGTTCAAAATCCACCAGCAGCATCATTCCTGGGTTTAGCCTTCCTTTCCTGGCCACTTCGTCCGGAGGGATATCTACAACGCCTACTTCACTGGCCATAATAACAAGGCCACTATGTGTAATATAAAACCGACCAGGTCTCAACCCATTGCGATCAAGTGTTGCTCCAAGATAGCGACCATCAGTAACTGCACTTGAATTTAAAAAAAAACATATTAGTTTAAATCACCATGTCACCTGGAGTTTTGCACCAAGAATAGTATGGGTTCTCACATGAAATGAGAGCAGGTCCATCCCAGGGCTCCATGAGAGCTGAGAAATATTCATACAAAGCCTTCCTTTCAGAATCCATGTTTTTATCATTCTGCCATGCCTCAGGTATCATCATCATGACAGCTTCTGGCATGCTCCTACCAGAACGAACCAACAGCTCAAGAACACCATCAAATGCCCCTACAATTTACATAAATATTTCAACGTCAAGCACTCATAAATGCGTACAGAAAAATGCACATTCATGTACCTGTATGTTACACGCATGACCTGTATGTCAAATGATTAGATTAAAGCAAGATATCAAGTGAGAAATATCTACCTGAATCGGATGAGCTAGCATCAACAATTGGTAAAATTTGCTTCATTCCATCTTCCGATAAGCCTAATTCCTTGCACTTTAAGAGACCCTCCCGTGCCCTCATCCTGTTAGGAAAGAAGAAAAGAAAGATGTCAACCAAACCAAACGGTGACTAGCATATATAATTAGCTTATAACAAAGAAAAAATCCACCATCTTCTTATCATACCAGTTTATGTTTCCTCGTAAAGTGTTGATTTCTCCATTGTGACCCACTACACGCATTGGTTGTGCACGGTCCCAGCTGGGAAATGTGTTTGTGGAGAATCGAGAATGCACCTGCACATGAACATTGTTATTTGATCCTAAAATTGCAATTTTTAGACTTGCATTCTGAGGTTTAATAGTTCAGTGTGAAATAAAGGGGCACCAGAATAGCCAATAGGATCGGTCTAAGTACAGTCCCAATGAAAAATTACACAGAGAGCCTAAGCAATCTTCACCTGTAATCATTTCTTTTCCACTTCAAAATAGGATCTCATACAATAGATTGTAGGATTTAATGCATCAGAGTTCTGCAACAAGGTTTCCTAGGTTATCAACTACAAAGATTTCACCATACCACCCAAAGCATCGACTACATATTTCATATAGTAAACTGTTGTGGTCAAGAGTTTTTGCAAAAGTATATATTTACCAGGGCCATGTAACTCGTAAACTTTTTGTCACCAAGATCTGCATAATAGTAGTTTTTCAGCTGAACAGGCTTTAGCTGACCTTTGTAAACAATAGTCCTGCCAAAATCAGACAAAACACAACACTTTTAGAAGATCCAGGACTTCTATCCATTAGTAAAGGAAACAAAACTGCCATCACATCTACACAGAAACAAGATACTTAATAACCCATTCTTCCCTAATCATATCTTCTAACTCAAAACAACAAAAATTTCCTCTTCTTTATGCAAGGGCAAAAGGGGGTTAAAATATCACCTCGAAGACAATGAGCATATATAGAATTCCTTCGCTGCACCACGCTTCAGATTCAAAGCAGCTCGAACAGAAACCATTGAGAATCTCCTTAATATATACATCTGCATATACCCAAGATAAAAATCAAACAGAACCTTTAGAAGTTAGAAGTTTCTATCAAGTTTTAATGAGTTTCTCTGTGTTCAAGAAAAAAAAAAATCAACGAAGGACCTGTTGCTCAAAATCAGCATTGGATTGTGCACTTGGAGTAAGAAAAACTTGCTCAATGATTGGCTCTGTCCGTCGAGCAGACTCACCAAGCTCCGTATTATTTGTTGGTACCGGACGCCAGCCAAGAATAACATGCCCCAAGGATTCTGCAACCTAAAGTAGCATAAAGTACCAGACAGTTCTTCAGAGTACTCTGAATTGCTCTAGGATGTATTAAGAATCACAAGAAAAGAAAAACTCCCAAATATGGCAGAAATTTTTGAAAAGAAAAAAAAAATATAAAGGTATACTATAGCATAAGTGAAAATAGCTCATCAAGAACAGCATCATAACAAAAGTTTGAGATTATCTAGACAAAAGAGATTACAAATGAATTTCTTGGTTGAGATCAGACCTGATCACTTCAAAAAGGATAAAAAAAAAATACCTTTCAAAAAAGAAACATTCACTTTGTTAAAAGGAATTTTAGTGTAAGAAACAGAAGCTAGACTTCCTCAAATTTAATCATGTCTTTCAGCACATGTAGCAGGACCCTAATTTCAAACAAACATTGTAGCACAAGATGTAAATATCTTATCATATTCTTTTAAAAAATGCATAATGTTAAAAACATGCAAATTGTTCTTTGAAAGTTGCAAAAATAAATTATACAACACATCCAAGATAATATTTTTCATAGAAAATAAATGTAAAACACAACTATCAACTTACTCAACAGACACGCCTGTATACACTGAACAATGAACAAAGAGAATCTGCAGTTCCTTTTAAAAGAGAAATATAAAATCTCCAGAAGTTTAGCTACAGATCCTGGTAGATCTCAAGTGTAATTATTCATAATGGAAAATTACCTCCACGAATGCAGCTTTGCTTTTCTCCCTGCGGCTATCATCAGTTGGCATGAAGAACATGCCAACAGCATACTTACTGGGTGGTGGCAGTTCAAACCCCAAATCTTTGGTTACCTGAAAGAGAAAAAAAATATGTAGAAAATACCAAAAATTCATAGTTAATAATGCCCTAAGAAGAACAATCACCAATTGACAACACCACAAATGAACACGCCAATAAAAGATATGACAAACGCTTAGAACAGGGGAAAAATATTTCTTACAAGAACAAAGGCCCCTTAAAAATTCAAAATGCGTGCCTCATTGAAAACAAATAATACACATGCCTCGTTGAGGAACTCGTGCGGAAGAGCTACAAGGATGCCAGCCCCATCGCCAGTGTTAGCCTCGCAGCCACAAGCACCACGGTGCGCCATCCTCTCCAGCATCTGCAGTGCATTGTCAACCTGCAAATTCTCCATATGTTCAGCAATGCTCTTGGAATGCAACGATTTCAAGGTCAAGAACATACTCTTGATTACTCTTGATCAGGGGAAACAAAAGCTTACTGTTTTATGGCTATATTCGCCGGATAGCTCAGCAATAAATCCGACACCACAAGAGTCTTTCTCGAAGGAGGGATCATAAAGACCCATGGGCTTCTCTGGCAACTCAGACATGGACGTTGATGGGGATCGAGAGGTGGCAACGACGTTCCGCTTCGGCATCAAACAACGTGTGAGGTCGTCGGTGCGCCGTGGATGGTGCCTTTGTATACCAAGAAAACGGCTCTCCGAGGAGATAGTATGAGATCGTCGCAAGGCAGAGAACCACACGGCCCTGCTTCCACGGCGGTCGTTCCTCTTGTAGTGCGCAACGCAAGAAGGCGCCAACGTCCCTGCGCCAAGCTTTAAAGCCGAGCACGGGTCAGCGGAGGCCATAGGCGAAAGACCACTCATTCTTTGAGGTTTTGGAACAAAGTTTAGATCTTTACGAGCTTGCTGAAACTCTCAACCAGGTTTCAGGTAAAAGGAAGTAGATTTATGAAGAATCGAACAAAGAAACGCCGGAGAAAGAGTCGATCAAAGAGCCGTTCGGGACGACGCGTTCTTCGTCGGACGGGTTCGCTGTGTAGAACAGGAAAAAACCGAGACCGTGAGCATCCACAAGATGACGCATGTCAAAAGTGGCAAGCAAAAGTATCGTGCAGAACGAGCACCTGAGATTGAAACAGAGACACTGGCGGTTTCTAATGGATAAATAACAACATCATTAACTATTCTAACAATCTAAACCCGCCGATCTCTTCTTACCCATATCAAAAACAAGATTTTTCCCCTGCTTTTTACCTCTATATCGATAAAAGCTAGGAAGAAGCAAAAGATCTTCGATTCCCGGCAACTGCCAAACCCAAGCTAGAGATTCCAAAAGATCCTCCACCCAGAGAAAAACGCCGCACTCCGCCGCTTCTCTCGCTGTTTCTCTCTCCTATCGCTATTGTTTCGTGCTTCCCTCCGCCGATAGAGAGACGGATTTATAGAGGAGTTGGCTGCGGGGCCGGCCATACTCCCTCTCCCTCTGCCCTTTAATTTTCGAAGCTTGGGGATCCGCTCCAGCCATGCTTTTATCTGAATCCGTACAATCCATGATCCCTATGTGCCCGCCGCAGTTCGCCCGCCGTTGGATAAGACTCGGCGAGAGCGGGTGGGGCCCGCGCGAAGGGGAACGTGGTGGCGTGGACGATTCTAACGCCGCCACGTCGGTATCCACGACGTGGTTTACGACTTCGGACGCGAAACGGTTCGCCTCCGAGTCTCCGCGGGCGGCCCTACCAAGAACCAAAATCCCAAATAATTAATCTCCGTGATCCACCACGCTCTCCTGGAGACACCCACCAAACGCAAGCGGCTATCATGGATGACATGGCCCCACATCGACGGTCAGGATCGTTTGGGTATCTTGGTCGGTATCTTTTACGGTGCCGAAAAAACATATTGTTAAATATTACCTCTGGGATTATGTGGTTTATCCACATAATTATAATAATTAAACCCCAAATCCATCGAATCATCAACCGAAGTGATGATACGAGTACGGCTATAAGAATCACAAAGATGTCTATCCAATTAATCTCTCTCTCTCTCTCTCTCTCTCTCGTTTGTGGTTTTAGAATGAATAAAAATATCATGAAATTAAATAAAGCTATTGAATCCTCTTTGTCCTCCTAATTAAACTTATGAGGAAAATCCCCGATTTGCTTCTTGTGGGTTGACCATTGCTACCATCGAAGACAATAACATCCTCCTTAATTTAATATTAGTACTCTTTTTTACAATTTAATTATATTTGATCAAGAATTACTCCCTACCTTCGTCTTCCAATCCACCTTCTTTCTATAAATCTTGGTGCGGAGAGATGAATCGAGATAGAAGAAAGAATAAGAGTAATGTAATGTTCCATCATGACACGTTGACTTCCGTATATTGATATCTTTGATGTTGTTATCGAGGTTGACTTTTCTATTCGTAGCAACAACGAGGACATATTGCACAAATAGAGTCAATTATAATTATTATTATTGTTGTTGTTATTATTAATTTTATTATTATTATTGTGGGAGGCCACATGTTTTCTAAAGCCAATAGCTTTGGATGGCCAACAGTAATTTTTTTAAGATATAAAAATATTTTTTAAAAGATAAAATATATATATATCGGATAAGATTTTTGATAAGAGAATCTGATAAAAATACATCAAATCAGATTTTTAACCTTAACCAGTGTTTGTGAAAATTATAAATCCACTTAACACAAGATATAAAAATATTAATTCTTTGTTACTATTTGAAAGTTATAGATACTGTTAGTACTCTTAATAGTATTTTTTTAAAAGATAACGATCATTGTCATTATGTCTAAATACTTGAGTTGGTTGATAAGACGTAGTACATGTCTTTATAGATCGATATAACATAGTGTGTTGATACGTCCATATGTATCAAGACAAAAGAAACTTAAAAATCTAAAAATTAATAAATTATTATCCGATCAATCTTGTCAAAATAGATCTTATATTGAGCATACCGTACGAGTATCCTAGTCCACATCTCCGTAGAATATCATGCTAATAAACCTTGGTTTGCTATATATTTAACTTTTGTTTTTGATATGATTTCAGCTCATTATTAAGCTCATGATAGATGGCATAATCATTTAATTTGTAATTTTTAACTTACCTTTCTTATTAAAATTTAATATTTAATCGTCATTGTCCTTTTAGTTTAGTGAGAGATTGGAGTGCCCAAGTATTATTATTCTTTACAACTCGAAGATATATTATATTTAAAAAAAATCTTGTGGAGATGGTATCCAAGTTACTATCATCCAAATAATTATTAAATTGAAAAAACCTTTAAGATAGTGATTAAGAAATTTCAATGGTGACGGCTGAGGATAGATTAGTCACTTGACATTTTCACTATGTTAATTCCTATCTATTTCATATTAGTGGAATCAATGATATTAAATTATATATAAATCTTACCTTTTACCATTCACTTATAAGCCTATGGGGTCACAAGCCTATAGACTATCATTCATTTGTAAGCCTATGGGGTCACAAGCCTATAGACTATCATTCATTTGTAAGCCTACGGGATCAAGAGCCTACTCCTCAATCAATGTGGGTTGCATCGGACCCAAAGATTTCTATTGTTCACACTCTCGTGAGACTTAATTTGCAATCAGAGAGATTGGGTCGAGAAATCCTTCCAACGCTGCTAACTGCTTGTGTAGGGTTCCTAAAGAAACCAAAGCATACCTTAACTCATCTCCAAGACTTCGAGAAGACTATGACTCACCTTGGGCCAATTCGAGAGCAATCTGGGATACTCAATCGTCACCTCAGGATCATTTTGGTCGAATCTTTTTTGACTCCAACGATCTCACATAGTCGTCACGTGAGCTATCAAGACGAGCTTGCACTTTCGGGCTAGAACCAAGTCATGCCGAGTCACGGTCAATGGTATTAAGACAATAACACCACTTAATCTTTATTGTTTTTTTTCAAGTTATTTTTCATCAAATCCATTTCTCTTAAAAAATTCACCAAGTCAATAAAGCATGAGATCCCTATGTACTTTAATAATGCTAGGAATTGAGTTGCATGCATTGTTTTATCTCCTTATAAAGAATGGTTTTTTTAGGGTACCTTTGCACCATTGGATCTAGCAAATCCATAAAGTGAGAAGGAAAACAAGATTCAGTGTTCAAGAGTACAGATCCTTTATGAGCTTGTAGCTTTTGACCTCAGGATGCTTGAGATGGGGACATCCCAGCTGATTCCATCAAACCTTGCTGAAAACCATCTTTGGACACAACACCAACAGGCTTTGTTAGATGATGTTGACATAGGTAGGAGTTCCTTGCACACCTTCCTATTGCTGTATCTGAATTCTTTAGCTCTTGTCTGATCTCAATGCAGATGACAGTCTTTCCTTCCTGCAACAGCTTCTGCACAATTCATATTTATATGAGGTTTCCAATAGCCACTCTTTTACTTCTGCAAGAGCTTCTAAACTCTAACTATCAATACAAGTTAATATTTGTATGAGCTTTTCCATGATCAGACTTCTACTTCTGCATGAGCTTCTAAACCTTTAAATGTCTACTGTAAAATGATCTCTAAATACCATCTCTAGAAAGTTGTAGGATTTCATAGCTGTATTAGGTTTTCCATGGCCAGCCTTTTGCTTCTGCAGCAGCTCCCAAACATCTAAATATCAACTCATAGGGTGCCATGAAAATTCCATATCTTTATGATCCTAACAAACACAAATTGTTCTCAATCATTTACTTCTCCAGGTAACATTTCTTATAATTCATCAATCAGATTCTAAGTGGTTGGTCTTCATCATCATGGAAAAAGTTTTCTGTTTGGATTCCTGTAAAAAGTTAAAAGTTATTGGTTGATACAGTTCTCTTTATCTCCTTAAAAATCATATTTTGTTTCTTTTCCTTTCATTTTGAATGGATTCCTTCTAAATTCTTTGGATGCAGCCATGTTCAGAAGTATTACAGTATTTGCACTTTCTGACAGAACATGAAACTTTGCACTTTGAAAAAGTTATACAAAAACTGCCCATTTTATCACACATAACTGGAGAAGAATAATATCACAGAAATCATCCTGCATTGATTGTCACATGAGGAAGGAAAATCAATTTCTGACATGATCTCTCACTTGTGTGTGTGTGTGTGTGAGAGAGAGAGAGAGAGAGAGAATCCTTTCTTTTCTACCAAGACTCAGATCATCAGGTTGGCATATCAAACTCAAGGTTCCAATTTCTGTGTGCTGGAAACTTCCTATGCAATTCCTGTGCATTGCGTAACACATTTTGACTTCCTTTTTAGTAGCAGAAACCATTGTTGTAAGACCATCTTCTTATTTAATGTACACAACTTGCTGTTTGAAGCATATATCTAACCATCAACAACACCTCCTAAATCAGGTTTCACTGCTTTCAAGAAAGCAGCAATCAATACATATCAGCTGAAAGAGTTGTTTAGATCATACCATACATGTAAACACCAGTAGATGAATATAATTTAGTTCAAAGAGTACTCTTCACCTGAAGGAATTCCCCACTGTGAAGCATGTTCAGGTAAAACTGTGCACGAAAAGCTTGCAAGAATGAAAGCTCCTTAATGCTCTCTGTTATCTACAAACTTACAGCCTCCCACTAAATGTAGATTTCAAGCAAGTTATATAAATATAATGTCCGGTGTAAAATGCAGGGTATAATCTTATACAACTACTCAACACTTTTGATTCTTTGCTTTTAATGTATAGAAAGTCAATTCAGGTCTTAAATGCATTAACGTGATGGCTGTTCTTACCTATGGCAGCATGAACTTGCTAGTGAGAAAAGAGGACATTTGCACTTGATAATGAAAGCATATGCAAAACTGATTTGTAGCCAAGTCTAGCAAGCAAGCTACAGCTTCATATGGGTGGTCAGTGGACATGAAACTTATCTGAGAAGCATGGAGGAGTTTGACTTCCCTTAAATAAAGGCATGAATGATCCATTTCTTGGAATAGATAATACAAGGTATGGGCATAGACAAATAAAGAGCTAATATCTTACATGCTACTTTCCAAGACAAATATCAGTCAGCCTGACAACCACACATTCCCCTATCTTGTTTCAGTATAGCAGCAGAATCAATGAGTTTTTCTCTTCTTTTCTGACAGGAAATTAACAAGCTTCCAGTGATCAACTTTAGGAGAGAGGCTATTGGGTGGGATTCTTTGATATAAGTAGCTGCATAGAAGATTTGCAGATTCATTCTCTTGTACCAAAATTGATGATAATTCTCCACTCTGTTTCATCTGGAAAAATAAATCATGCAATAATTGTAAGAGACCAATCCAGTGATCAAGAACTCTTGATCTTCTCTCTTTGTTGTAACACCAGCATCAGCTCAGCCATTCCTACAAGAAGCCATGGAAAATAGCTTGAGGTTTAGTCCATAGGAAATAAAACTCCTTATAAGTAATTATCTTTTTGGTTACATGATTGCCCTTGAAGATATTTGTTCAAGCCATATTTCATTTCCTATTTCCTGCTAGACTTTATTCCATGATCTATATGACCCATAAGAAGTACCTCTTTAATAGAGATCCACTTGCAACTCTGAAGATTCATGAAAGCAAATGTTGCTTTCATCCACCATGCATTTTTCTAATATAACAATAATATATACCTGAGATGGATTCTGCATTCTGAATGTAGAAGGATATTCTTACTTTGTTATGATCAAATTGTTTTGACTTGGCACATACAGTTGAACTTTTCAAACACAATTTGGCAACACAGAATGCAAACAAATGTAGATAGACATGGAATCTTTCATCTTTGTCAAGTTGTGGATTGTAAGATCCAAGTCTTTCCTCAACCAACATGACATCCATGATCTTTGAATAACATGAAATGCGTGAGGTAATTGCCATCTTCCCATACTCCTCTTATTCCTGAGCCGAACACAAACCACCATTCTCTTGCATCGGAAAACTCCAAAGTCAAGCCTCAGATTCATGACAAAACAACAAACATGAATCTAATATAAGTGTCTAGAACTTATCTTTCTACAATGATATCTAGTGCTGAGACCAATGCCAACAGAAAAAAAATGGAAGACAATTCAAGGCTAACAAACATAAAGCCTTCTTTTATGTCTCATCACGCTGTCGATTAGCCTCATCGAGGAGGCATGTAATATTTAATCTGAGGGAATGTCTTGGGATCTCAGTTAAGGATTAATTAGCTGCAATTGGCCTTTAGTCAACCTGCATCAATCTTTAAGAGGGTGAAGACTTCAATATGATTCTGCCGAAACATTCATACTTTATGAATCCAGATTGTGTTGTTCTGCCTCAGCCATCAGATGTGCCAAGCAGAATTGGAGAGATGAGCTCAATCTCTTATAAAAAATGTAAAATTGACAGAAAACAGACTTATTTAGTTGATTTTTGCATCAGTTTGACCATCTTTGTGCTTAAATATGGGTTTGGAAATCCACACAAGGATCCATTGCAACTGCTACAAAATGTATCATATTTTGACAGTCGAAGCAAATTTGAGTTCCTTTGGGTAACAAATTCTTCCTATGAGTTATATCGGTGAGTCTCTTTCGATATCTATATCAAGCATCAAATATATGATTTCAATTGATGGCGTAGAGGTCTATATCTTTTGGCATACCTTCAAAAAGAAGTGCATTCTCAGGTAAGGATATTTCTTTTTAGTCTAAAGCTAATTAGTTCTTGGGCTTCTTCTAGAGTTATTAGGCTTTGTTTAACCCAAAGCTTTAGATCTCAGGAGAAATAGTTGCAGCTGCATCTACTCATCATCTCCACAACTGCAATTAGAGCACTCTCTCAGCTTAGGAGAAGTACTACCACAATGCAAGATGCAGCAGCATATCTATATTATAGCTGCATGGTAGTAATCTGTGCGCAGGTCCTAAGAATTCAGAATTGCTTCTCATCTGTGAGAACACCAATGAATGTTTCTAAAGATGTGCTCATAATCATCAGAAAATAAACATTTTCACTACAGAATCACAGTTTACTAAAAGTCATCTCCTTTTCTGGCTCTGGAATCCAATCAAAATCTCATGGATGATGAGTTGACTTTGGTGTAGAACTACATAAAGGTTCGATTTAAGATAGCATACCCAAGTGGTCATTGAGGTGATTGGAGAGCCCATCAACTCCTTCCCTTCTCAAATGATCATTCCTTTTGCCTTCATGCTATAAACAAATGGTCCTCTCTGTCTCTCTCTCCATCTCTCTTTCATCCTCATTGTTTCTGTTGGCTAGTTGAGAACCCCAAGAATCCATCCAAAATAAAAGAAATGAAGGGAAAGATATTTAATGCACTGATCATTGCATAAAGTGCACTGGAAGCAACAAATTGGGAAGAGATCTGACACAAGTGTTCTGGTCTGCATCAATACAAATAGTATCAGTGCAGCTGCTCTTATACAGGCTGAAACCTAGAAGAACTACATGTGGGTTGGGCTGGTTAACCTGGAACAAGCTCCATTAGCTACTGCAGGAAGATGGTGAGGGTTCATAGGTTGCTGAACCTTGTATCTGTAACAGAGTAAATGGAGAATTCTATGTGCACTAGTCTTTGCTGCTTCATCTTCATGATCAAGATTGTTCTTTTGTGCCTTTATTTTGTTGTGATACTCTCATGCATAAGATTTCAGCTAGCTTACTACACTTTCCATGATTGCTATAAATTTCTTTTTTAGTGAGAATTCAAGAATATTTGTTCTGACACCTCCATAACCAGCAAAGTTGAGCACATCTCACCAGGTAATATGTGACAAGAAAGGATTATTTTATTGATTGAATCATTGAATCATGAAAGAAAAACAATCTAATAGGAAAAAGATTATTTTGTTTGATCTGATCATGAAAGAAAACATTCATTTTTTTTTTTGTCCGCACTTACTTTGGAAAGCCAATGGTAGATTATGATTTATGATGATAATTCTTCTATGGCAAAATTAAATCCACGGTCTCTTACAAATTTGATAGAATCAGATGGCAAATGTTGAGTCACTCAAGAAATTGCCATCATGCTCACTTCATGATATTTAAGAGCTATCTTGTATTAGCTATTTGATTAGTACATAGAACCACAAATTTAAGAGATATTAAGATTTTTTTTTATAGAAATGAAAAGTTATATTAATTCATTACTGGATTATGACACCATTAAACCTCTTTGACACCAAAAATACCTTTCTTATTTGATACATTTGCACCTTCTACATTGGCAACTACATGATAGATCGTTAGTAATATAATTTTTTTTTATTATAAAGATAAAAAAATTCATCATATTTGTTACTCTCTCATCACTTTCTTTCACTATATTATACAAATTATTTTTATAATATTTTTAGATTTTTTTCTTTAAAAAGCCTCATTTTTTAATTTTCTCATTTAATTTTTTTTTTCAAATATCCTAAATGCCCCTCGTCATCGTCATCTCCTCTTTCATGTTAGCATTGTCGATCATTACTTCTAGCCCATTGCCCCTTTATATTCCCACCTCACACTTTTCTGTGCCCTCACCCTCGACCTTTTTCGTCTTCATGTTGCCCTCTATGCTCTTATCATCTAATTAGACTCACTTACTCTCGTTCTTTTTTCTGTGTTCATATCATTTGACATGTCATATTCCATAGAGAAGTTTTTTCATCGATATCTTCCTTCCAAAGCATGTCGTTGAGAATGCAGGTGGAGAAAAACGACAGAGGAGATAAGGTCAAGGAAGAGAACACTATTATGAGGATGAAAGAAAGATATTAGAGAAGAAATAAGAGAAATATATGACAAAGTGAAGGGAAAATTAAGATATTAAAGAAAATGTGACAACGATTAGGAATTTAAGATATTAAAGAAAAAAAATACTAAATGGGAAAATTAAAAACTATGATACCTTTAGGAAAAATTTTAAAAAAGATTTTTTTTCAAATAAATCGTCCAATATTCTTTATATTTTAATATGATATAAAAATACTAATTTATTTTGAATATATTTATTAACCACGCTCCAGCTACAAAGGAATAAAATTATCGCATCGTGTCGTCAAGATTAGTGCACGTACACTCGGTCTCTCTTCTTCCTCCGCTTTGAAATCCTAAGATTCTTACTGTACTCGCCTACTCCGAAGGGCACGGTAAGTTCACAGGCAGGTGTTCGCGGGACCCGTTCTGTTTCTCCAATCACTTTACAGGTAGGCCTGCGGGTCTCAAAACATGGTGCTAGTTAATTATCCTGCGACGGTTGTTTACCTCGAGTGGAAAAGGGTCCTCTTTCGACCTACTGGAGAGTCCTCTTAAATGTCCGAAATCCCCACTTCACCCCTAATTCGTTGTTGTTACCACCCGGAAGCGACTCGAAGGCCGCACGAGCGCAGAGGGCAGTTTTGTCCATTTAATTCAAGTTATCCGTGAGAGCCCCGTTGCCACCCTCCTTCCTTCGACTTCCCCGGTCGCTCCTCGCTCCACCGCCGCCTCCTCCTTCTCTTCCCCCTCCTCCTCCTACTCTTCCTTGTATTCTCCTTCTTATTTCCCCCATCGATACACTCCCCTTCCTTGGAGCGGATTGGCGATTTCTTCTTATTCGATCTTGCCGAGACATTCGATCGGTAGCCCCGCCCGACTTGGGATTCCTCGGAGATTGATCGGTCCTCGGAGTGATCTAGCGGAATGCGCTTTTTTTGAAGGAGTTTGTTTGCTCGTCGGCGGGTTCCGATCGCTTGAGCGGAAAATAATTGGAATTAGGGTTTCGACGGGGAAGATGCCGCGGAGCTCACGGCATAGATCTCACCGGTTGCACAAGCACTCGAGAGATCTGTCCGATTCCGAGGAGGACGGGAGTCCGCGGGAGAGGAGGATCAGGGAGGAGGAACCGACCGCGAGCTCTGGTGCTAGGGTTTCCAGAGATCCGGAGCCGGAGAAGCGGAGATCCTCGCACGAACATGCCGGGAAAGAGCTGGTGGTCACTAGCAATGGGGATGCCTCTGGGGAGCATGGGAAGAAGCGTAAAGAAAAGGCAGAGGAGGTGGCAGTTGCTGATCGATGGAATGGCGGTGAGGAGTGTGACCACAAGAGGTCGAAGTGTGAGGAATTTGGGCCCGTGGAGTTGGATAAGAGTTCAAGGTCTAAGCTTTTGACTGCTGATTCCAAGGTCAGGTCTAGCAGAAGGCATGATGGTTCAAATGAAAGAGATGAGAATTCTGGTGGGAAGAATGATTCGGCCAAGCACAAGTCTGAAAGAGGTGCAGATCGGAGGGAGAGCAGTAGTCAGTATAAGGATGGAAGGGCTAGGAACAGGATAGAGAAGGACACCATCAAGGACAGGGAGGTCCAAGATTCCAGGCATGACAAGTATGATGATAAGCATAGTAGAAAAAATGGTCCTAAGTCTGGTGGCAGCACAGAAGAACTCACTTCAAAGAAGTATACAACAAATAATGGTAAGGTAACCATAACATGTTAGTACTTGAGCTTTCTTATTAGGCTATTCCTTATGGCATCAATGAAATTGGCTTATCCATGAAAAACATGTTGTTTCACAGCTGCGACCAAAAGATGGTATTGTTTAAACTGTGTCAAGCTTAGTTCTGCATAAAATGGTTGAGCAATTAGAAAAGTTTTATGCATCAATTCTTGCTTGGCAACATGACTGTGGTCTGAGTAGCTTGGGTCATTGATGGATGAGAAAAAATGGTTACAGCAATAGATCATGTTTCTTGAGCTTCTGCAACCATAAATGCTTTTTACTATAAGAGCATTTATGGCTTTTTACCATAAAAGCTTGTTTGTGGTAATTTCTGAAGAAAATTTCAAATGTTTCTATGCCAACTTCTACTATAAGAGGACAGAAGAAATTTGACCAGAGCAAAATGAGGATCCCAATAAGAACTTGTTGGAATGATAGAGTTTACTAGGGGTACATCCAGGTTATAGTGGAGGATACAGAAGAAGAAAGACGGAAAGGCAAATATCACATGTCATGATATGATCATATTCTTGGGAGATTTTATATGACTGGTAAGAAGGGGTATCTTTGATTTTGTGGGTGGGTTTCTTGTTTAGATTTGAGTCATCTGAATGGTCTATTTTTAGGGTTTTTTATTTGTTCCACATTATAGGCGAACTGGAGGAGGAAGTGTCATAAAAATATGAAAACAATTGGTGGTCTATCATAACAATATGATAATATGTTAAAAATTAGAGCCTGCACAGTCTAGAGTCGAATTGGCCATGGGAAAATAATTGTTTGTCTATCATAAGAATATGAAACTTTGATTCTAGAAAAGTATCTTAGAATACAGAAAAAGTAGTTTCCTAAGATTTAGGTGGGTGGATGTCAAGTATTAGGTTGGTGGAACCGTGGAAGTTTCTTTACTTCTGGTTTGGAAATTATCTTTGCCTGACTTTCGGTTTTGGACAGAGAGACAATTCACATAATCTGTAAACATCAGGAATTGATTCCAAAATGGGTTGGGAGGACAATGTGGAGTTTGTAATATTACGAGTTTGGAGTTGAAATGTTTTGGTTTGAATGGTGAGATGCATTATCTATTATCTTGATTGGTAGGTTTTTTGTTTTCAAGAAGTTTTAATGATAAACTGTTGTGTACATTGTGGCATTTTTGCACTTTATACTGGTACAAAAGCCTTGAGAATCACATTAATGAGCTTATTTAAGACTATGCATTGGAGCTAATATGTAAACAAAGTATATTAGTTTATTTTATTGGGAAGGACAAATTCTAGGGAAAACTACCTCGATTAGTGGTGTTTCAACATTGTAATCCTACAATGCTTTTCCAACATTAATGAACTAGTTTGGAACTTAGTATTTCGTTTATGAACTACCACATTTTGGTTGTCTTTATTCTTCCACTACTTGCTCGATATGCAATATGTAACAAACTAAGGTATTTCATCTTTGAAGATTTTTGGATTGGCTTATCGGCATGGGGAAGGCGTACAAGTGTTTGAGGGCTGTTGGATGGTTTTAAACAAAGCTTAATCTCCATGGTTTCACATTTCTGACTAGTTTCAGACTTCTATTTCATCATTGTTGGCTAGATAGAAAATTTTCTTGGCGGTGTGTCACATGGAATTGAAATGATTTGCATGATTGCATAGTGAAGTTGGTCATGAGATGTGTTATGTAGTTGCAATGGACAACATTCCGGAGTATACAGTGAATAGTGAAGTTCTTATATATTTGTACTTTTTGTTGCAAGTTATGCCATCTCATTTAGACCCTTATAAGTACATAGATGATTATTTATCTCATTCTAGCGATGTTCAGGATAATTCTGTAGAACTAGCCAAAACCCCTTCCTAAAAGGTACCTCTTTAGCACCTGTATGTAGGCCGGGACGACAGGGGGAAGTGCAAGTGGTTAATTGTCAACCAAATAGGCTTTGGTATTACCGTTTATAATACTTTGGTTTGTGGCCTGTAATGCTGGTGGATGATACGTCCAATCCTTTTAAGAGATTTAAAGACAACAACTTTTAGATTGGTTGCTCTCTTTGATCATATGGAGGTTGAAAGGCTGTATTTTTCGTAAAGTTTGAATCATGTCATCAAGTAGACTAAAGTTGAAGTTTAATCATTTACTTATTGGATAGTCATGCAAATCCATACAGTTTTCAGGTTTTCGTTCATTTAAAGTTCCAAATCTTAGTTCATCTAAATCTTTATAACTTTTTAGAGTACATTCTGGACATTCTGATTTTGTTTATCATGTGTCATATTTTTACTATTTTATCATATGTACCATTTGTTTGTTATACTATTTGTGTATCGTATGCTTGCTTTACTGGTGGTTTCTACTATGTTTTGCTGAATTCATTAATTTGTTTATTTTTAATCTTTTACCCATATGGTGACAGAAAGGCAAGAACAATATATCTTTCGCAGTGCTGAGACAGAGGAGCCTGAGAAACACCTAGGGAGAAGAGATGACTTTGAAGAAAGAGAGAAATGGTTGGATGATAGTGGACATGCGGATGATAGGAGATTGTATTCTATGGATGATCGTAGTAAAAATAGAAGCTATAAAGATGAAAGGCATGAAGATGCTAAGTACAGAGGCAAATACAGGGATGACGATGACAGGGATCAGAAGCATCGTGATGACAAGTACCATGATGAATGTCCAGATAAAGACCACACCAGCAATAGATCTGACAAATGGAACCTTAGAGATGAAAACAAACCTCTGGAGAGTCATTATAAAAGAATTAAACTTCAGGATACTGATCATGATGCGACTTCCTATGTTGATGGCCATGAAACCAAGCTCAAAGATAACAGGGGAAGAAATAGATATTCTGATGAAAAGGATCACAGTGACCTAGAACCCAGAGGTGCAAAGGAACAACGTGAAGTTTTTCAGAAAAATGCATCGATTACCAGTCAAACTGGTTCACATTCTGATAAACCTAGGTCAGAGATTCAGCAACCAGAGAAGACTAATTCAAGTCCAAGAAATCACCGACTGAAAAGCTCCATTAGCTCAAGCACATGTGCTGCTAAAGATCTTAACAGGTGCTTTTTGTTTCCTGATCTCTACATTGCCACTTCAGTTATTCTTTTGAAACATAGTAACCATGGACAATTGGCTCTGTCATTGCACAACCTTTTCTGGATAGTTTATTTAAATAATAATTGGTGAAACTAACATAAATAGTCAGTATAACATATCATAAATTTTTAACCTTTAGAATTTGTCATGCAAAGTCATTTGTAACTATGTAGCACACGAGGGATTTGGAGTTATGCATTTGAAAATAAAGATTGTCAATATGTTTGAGCTGTACTTGTCTAAGTTGTAGGTACTATCAGCGAGATGTTTTGTTTTTCAAGTTCTTGTTTCATTAAAATAAAAAAAAAAGAGATCAACTTCATGGTACTATCTCACAGTTAATCTTATTTCGAACTTGTCTAGACAAGCTAATACCTCTGGAGATACATGCAGCTACCATATTGTAATAGTCAAGCATATATCTTTTCTATAATGTTTTTTCTTGCATTTTATCTTTTCTATTTGGGAATAGATACATGTAGTTGACATCTAATAGTTCGGACATTACAGCGTATTCTTGATGTTTATCTGCTCCTTATAATAGCTATGATCAGGTGATATATGGTAATCTGGTGGTTGCTATCCTGATTACGAGTTTCCTGGTGGTTAATGATTAATAGTTAATGTGCCTGTACCTGCTGAGTCAGACCTTGGCCTACACTTTTTCCAACCTGAACCAAGCATGAAACATTAGTTCAAGAGCAGCCTCTGCCTGCTTTTTGCATGATTTACCATAGAAAATAAGGCTCAGTTCCTGGCAGGACTTGGGCTTATCCTACTTGGGCCTTTTGGGCTTAAGGGCATATGAGGGCAATAAAGCCAGACTAGCCTGGTGTGTTCTCCTTTAGATTTCCATGAAAATCTCTAGTATCCTGTGTTAATGATCTGGCTTTGTTTTCAGGAATATCTCAAAGATTGCAGAATTTGCACATAGTGAGTCAGCTCTTGAAGATAGACTTTACCCTAATGCAGCTTCTAAAGGAGATAGTTCCATTTCTTCTGGACTTCGTGACAAAATTTCTGTTACTAGATCAGGGAAGCAAACCCTAAAGGATGACATCCATTCTGGTGAACTTTTTGCAGAAGCTGCTGCTTCTTCAAAGTGCAATAGGACTCCGAGATCAGATGCCCATACGTCACCAAATCAGTTGAAGGGAAGATCTTCTTCAGCTATTATTAATCGTCGGTTTTCAGAAAGATCTCCTTTGAAGTATGAGAGATTTGCCAGGCAATGCGTTGATATTGAAATTGGGCAGAGGAGTAGTAGCTCCAAAGCTGGAGACAGAGGAGAGTCGGCTTTGGAAAAGCCAATCATAAATGACATATCTCCTGCTGATGTCTGTGTTAGGGAGTCAACCCTTGGTTCATCATCTATTAATCGAAGTGATTATGTTTCTGACTGTTCATTTAACCACCTTCCCTCTCCATTGCCTGTGAGGTCTGGGGTTGACTATCCAGCAGTCTTGGACCCATATCAAGATGATGAGAGAGCTCGGAGTACCGACCGCAAATCTTCTAATCGTTATAAAAGGATGGATGATCTTGGATTCATAAGAGGGCATGGAAACGCATGGAAGGGTGCCCCAACTTGGCCCTTTCCAGTTACAAATGGTTTTGTTCCATTACAACATGGTCCACCTCCTGTATTTCATCCAGCCATGTCTCCGTTCCCAGCTCCACCTTTATTTGGTGTTCGACCACCTATTGATTTGACCCATGGTGGGGTTTCTTATCACATGCATGATGAGGCTGTGAGGTATTCTGGTCATTGCCAGCCATTTGGTTGGCACAATCCAGTCGATCAATTATCCCATCCTCACATGCAAATGTGGGATGGAAGCAGCGACATGTTTAAGGATGAATCCCAGACCTATGGGAGGCCAGAATGGGATGAAAATAGTCAGCTAAAGAGCAGTAGAGGTTGGGAAATGGGTTCTGATAGGTGGAACAAAGAAAGGGAATTGTTGAGACATTCTCTTACTGATGAACTAGCCCAATCAAAATGTTTGCCTACTGGAAGCACTGGAGCAAAACAATCAAGTGATACACTGCCTGTCAAGAGTGCTGTTCCGTCTCCCCAAAAGGATGTAATTGAGAAGACACATGAGCCCTCAAATGTGCCAGGAGATAAAATATCCAACTGTTTCGTCAATTACTTTTCAAGAATAGATATCTCGCCAGCTCTTGCAGGTTCAGAATTGTACAAAAGGTGCAAATCCCAATTGAGAACGTTACATGTTAATGATGCATGCAATTGGACTACTTACAGAAGCATCCAGGTATTGAATATCTACATACTAAGAAAAAGGAAAATAAAATTGATTATTTGGTTTTTTTTATTAGCTTATTACTGTTGATCTGCATTCTGTTTCAGACTAACAAAGAAGGCAGCATAGTGAAAATGAAGAGCGCAAGTTCTATCTTGAACTCTTTCTTTCCATCTGCAAAAGATATTGTCTTCAAGGTATAGCTGCTTTAATGAAATTTCCCGCTTTATTTATTCGAAGATATGTATGGATAGCTATGGACAAAATAAATAATGCTTAAGATTATCTTCTCCACTAGCTTCTTTTGAGAAGAGATACTCCTTGAATTTTTGTTCTCTTTTCTTAAGTACCAACTTTGGCTTGGGTGCACATTGTGTATATGTATGGTGCTGGTTATGAGATTATATATTCATACTAATACCCAAAGTTTGCTATCCAGGATTCCAGATTTAAATTCAGAGAGTCTCAAATCTATCAGTATTGAGATATCTAAGTATTCAAGTATATATCCAAGTCTTACACAGCTATATTTATATGAGGAAAGATGTTGCCTGATTGATTGTTCTATGTATAAAAGATATGTTAGCCTTTTCCTACTCTTCCTTTTCTTCTCTATATATAAATAATTTTTTTATCCAGGAAATATGATTGATCTCTAATATTTTGACTTGACTAAGTTTTGGTGCATCATATCCATTTCATGTAAACTTTTCATCCTCCAGCTTAAGTCCCATCCAAGACCATATACACGGTACAACATCTGTTTGGTAGGTCTATTTATTCAATAATAGGTGTTGCCTGATTGATTATTCTCTATACATAAGTGATGCACCTGTCCTTTCATGTTCTTTTTTATCTTTTCTACAAGTTTTCTTTATCCAACAAATATGATTGATATGTAATACTGTGACTTGGTTAAGTTGCATCATGTCCAATTCATGCAAACTTGGCATCCTTGTCCACCTTAAGTCCAATCCAAAACTGTATCTATGGTACGTCCAGTTTGTACGAGACTCTTGGTATCTGCGTTTAACAGATTTGCTTACATATTTAGGAATTTTCTAATATCCTTATTTTATTAATAAAGTGGATATGAGGAAGGTTTTTATCCAATATCTGTTCTCATCCTTCCTTATTCAAGATACGTAATCAACAGTTTTTGGAAGTGCATTCAAGCATTTGATAGTAACAACTATCTTAATCAACATATCCCATGTGAAATAACTAAAAAGAGTATTAGTATCAAGTCAGAAGTTAATAATATTGTCCTGTGTTCATGTACCATATTTGAACATTTGGACTTCGTTTTAGCACATAGCCATGGCTGTATTCGACCCATTTTAAGCCCTATAAGAATTTAGTTCTTTCCAAATACTTGTACTTTAGGCTATACAAGAGTCTGCGTGACCCAGATTATTAATTAACTCTGATGGAAATTGTTGTGGCTGAAAATTGATCAGTTCTATTGTTCTCGTGGTTACAGAGGGCTATGTTCTTGTATCAGCAGCAAAATGGAAAGGCATACAGGAAACATCATGTACCGGCACCTGTATATTCTGAAGAAAAGGAGTCTCCACAAGCTTCTGCTAACCGGAAAGTACTGGGTGGTGCTAACTGTGCTTCCTTGGAGAAAACTGATGCTGACTCCACTGATCACATCAAAGCAGGAGACATCACTGTCGTACAGGACTCTGATTGTCCTGGTGATGCCAAGGATCAAAAATCTGATTTCCCTTGTGGTCCTACTGTTCATGGTAATAGTACTCAAGGTTGTGAGGTTATAGCAGAAGAGTGCAGGATGAATGTAAGTCGGATACATAATGTTCCTGAAAATACACACTGAACAATATTTTATCTCTTTGCTAATGCCATTTTCAAGTTCATGTTTATTTGATTGGTTGCTTGCCATATATGCACCTGTTATGTTCCATTTGTAGTTCTATAGAGATGAGAGTCCACAACCAAAAACTGGGTTTTATATATGCTTCTATCTTCTTTTCCTTGTATGTTTTGGATTGACTTAGCCAAAACGTGAGCCTGCTGAAGCAGTATCAGGTACTTCCATCTTGGCAACTCGTCTGATGACTAACAGTCTTTGTCTGTCGGAAACATATCATGCTCTTTAAGCTTCTTATTTGATTCATTCACTATGGATTAGGGAGGGGAGTCTGGAGGATGTCTTTGCAGGGCATATGCACATTATCTTTGGCAAAGAAATGGTATGTATACATTTAATCTTTGTGAGCTTTCAATTTTAATCATATTGACCAATCTGTTATCCTTTTTCTTATTACTCCACACTTGGGTTCTAATATTGCAGATCACTCGAGGTGGGTGGATTCGTTGTTAATGAAAGCATCCATTCATTAACCTTTGACGGCAGCAATTGGTAACTTCTGCTACATCTCTTTCCTTTTTCAAATTAGAAGAATTCAAAAAGGTGGTAAATACATGAGGTGTTGCATTCTGCAAAATAAATTGATAGGTTGCGGGGCTATGGAATATGATTCTAGCTGCACCGATCTCAAGGTAGTCTTTTATTCTTATATTATTTTTAAGAAAATGGTAGATGCTGAGACTTGAGATTTTTAAGAAAATATTTTCTTGTCAAAAGGTCATCTGCATGTTAAGTTCAACTAGCATATATAATCCCTGCGTCTGCGTGTAGCGAGGGACATTTAGTGGGGCTAGTTATTTCGTAGCGGATAGTTTCATCAAAACATCGGATGATTTCCCAACATGAAACATCGTCCAAACTCTATCAAACCTTACGGTTGGCATCGTGCATTAACGATGTTCCCCACTTAGTGTTCGATAAACAGGGTTGATCGGACGTCCAACTCGGTGTCGGACGAGTATATAAGCATGTATTGGGTGTTATATAGCAGGGGGTTCAAACGAGCGGCCCTTTTATAGGAGATAATTTTATCGAAATACTAGATAATAATAGACCATTCTTTCATAGTGGATAGAAAATATGTAGTTATTTTCTAGTGGAGGTAATATCTGGACAATACGTGAAAAGTCATTCAAACCGTCAAATGTCATACCTAACGTCATATGTTGACAATACGCCACACTTTTAAAGCCTTCACGCAGAGAGTTGTGATGTTTGAATGTCCACATGTCATTTTCTCTATATTATTCACCCTCCGTTGCATTTCGATACATATAGGATATTAATGATACAATTTAATGATGTAGAGTGGGCATCCTGTGATATCGAAGTTAACTAACTAGATCATGAAATTGATACTTTTTTACTGCATTTATCCATGTCACAAAAAAATCAAACACTTCATGGCTGGCTGCATCATGAATTTGTAACATTTGTGGTCTAATTTGATTGTATCATAGAGTCCAAATACTTCATTTGTGGTCTAACTAGGCATTAACATGGGTTCGAATGTGGAGTCGAATACAATCATACATTGCTTGTCAAGGAACCGAATCGGCAAACATTGAATTGTTTTGACAGTCGTAGTTGAAAGAACAAATGGGAAAGAAAACCCACGAGTTGTCACCGGTTTAACTTCTGTAGCTACTCAAAACTATCACACCACCCATTAGAACTCTGGGTAATGCAATGCAAGAAGCACCGAATGTTGCAAGTATCGCCACAATGAATGTTGGTTGTTTGCCCTAACATCAGCCATCGGACAAGGAGCAAAGCAAACAGACTAATCACGAACAACATTTTTCGAAAAGAAATGCTGCATTACTTGAATGAAACCGTGGCTGCTACTTACTGTATGCACTAATTTGATTTACAAAGAATGTAAGGCCTGTTATTCGAATTCACCTTTAACATCAAACTTATTAGGGGGGAAAAAAAAAAAGGAAAAGGTGGGGGCGAATTGAATACAAGCTAAAAGATTTGACTCTGATGGGAGGAAGAAAGAGACACTATTCTTCCAAAAAAATGGGTATAAAAATTCCATACCTAGTTCATGAACTTTCGGCAGTTTGGAGCTTCGCAGAGACAAGGGACTTTGCATTCGTCACTTTCGTCAGGGTCAAATAAATAGTCATATCTGCAAGCCAACAGACGACAGAGGATACATATAAGCAGCATAATTAATCGAATAGGAAACTTGCCAGCACGACCACACAAGCCCAAGCCACTAAGCAACACATTCAAGTAGTCCTTTGGTCTTAAACAAGAATTTTAAATGACAATATTCTCAGAAATTTTGATGTAAAGACAGAGTGATGCACCCTATGCACAGCAAGAGTGCCGACTTGAATTTTATCATCGACAACATCAAATTTAGTTCAAAAGGAATCAAATGCTAGAAAACGATTTACTATCCATGGAACAGCTTGCGTGTAAGAGCAAGAAAACATGTCTAAGAAATTGAAAGCCTGATGCTACATCATCAAGAACATATACCCGGGAAGCTTTGCATTTCCAGATTCTCTCCAAAAAGATGAATAGAATATATATATAAGATGTTTTAGTTTAGCCACAGCTCTCTTTTACAGGGTTCACTGTTTGAGAAATAAAATGTTTTCTTCGGATACAACTCTGACTATAATTCAAGAAGAAGGGCTTCACAAGAGAAACCATTTAAGTAAAAAATATGTAAATTATAAAGCATCAATTGTTTTCCACTACAACTAGTCCCCTATTTAGGTTCTCAAAGTTGGTACCTGGGAGGCAACGACCATTTCGTCATATGTTTCTATGTAAGAGATAAGGCATATCCATTCCTGAAATTTTCCATTAGCTCCATATACACGTCTACATGTTCCGCTTGGGTGGTAATTAAGTACTTGAGCAACATAAATGCTTTGCCAAGATCATAGATGGAGCGAGAAATTGGCAAGAGAAACAAAATTCAGCAAACCGATATGAAAACTTTTGCAGATAGGTAAAGGAATTTACGTTAGTTCTTCACCAGCAGAGACATTTGTCTTAGCTATCAAAACAATCCGGCTCTCATCATCACCAACACTCATGATCCTAGCATAGCAATTGGGCATGCACTGCATCAAATAATGATAATTATTTTTGGAGTATTACAGCAAACAGCTCTGCTAAATTTCAGAAGCCAAAGTTCTATTAAACGTAATGACTCACTGAATGGTTTATCAAACGTGCTATGTTTCCTTTATCAGTAGCATCGACCACTACTTCTTCGCTGATCTTAAAAAGCTGCAAGACAAGAACATTACAGGCAGTGAATTAAACTATAATATTGGAGCAATATAATAATCATAATGTCAATGTAATTTGACAAGTAAGCCCACTCCCAATGCTACCCATCTGGTAAAGGTGCCCAACACTGTAGGCCCCCATTATGAAGGATTGTTGGCTCATTTCTTAACTATCCTAAAAGGATCTGCCCAAATAAGACTGGAGGTCATTGAAAGATAACCAACAAAGAGAACAAATAATAGGATCTTTTATTCGTGTAAACATTATTATTGAAAGTTGACAAATTTTTGCAAAAAGAATTTCCACATTATGTATGCAAATTCCTTCATGATTATCAGGTATAAATGATTAAAGACTCCACATAGTCGGTTATTTGTTATAGGCCTGTTTCAAAGAAAAATCCAAGTGAATATCTCTATGGAGGACCCAATTCCAGATTCTGATCTGATAGGTTTCTGTTAACCGAAATGGGAAATCAACAAAACAATGACACATGAACTCAATTATGAATATGGGGTTTATATGTAAAAGTCAAAGTTTATATTAGAAAAATTAAGGATAATTTTCATCTTTTATTGGATTAAAGTGAAAAACTACTGGAGGGGGGTAAAACAATACAAGAATAGTAAATGACTTATCTACTTATCAAAGTGGAACCTTTTGACCAATTAAAAAAACGATAAGAAAATGAGCACAATCCATGCAGAAAAATATATAAAGTTGCTTAACAGTATAAGTGAATTGATTTGTATATCAATCATACATAAACAAAAAGCTATCATCACAACAAATGGTTGAACATCGGTGCCATATGCTAGATGAATAATCATGTTAAGGATCAAATGCCAAGCAAAATGACTTTTTGAATCTAGTACTGACGTGTACGCCTTTATTTTTTATTTGTAATGCAGTAGCCCCCAAACTATAAAGTCCAAGGCACCCTTATTAGTACTATAAACTACTAGACTCGACTACTTTTTCAATTTATTTAAAATCAATTGAGAAAATAAGTAAAAAGTATATTTCTTGTCTGAGGCTTCAATTTCTAGCATCAGCCAAGGGCAATCATGTGTAGAGAATAAAACAAAGGGTACAGGAAGATGACTCACATAGCAACCCTTCCCTTCCAATCGATAGCGTGCTTCCCTTAGGTCTGCAACACTACGTCTGACCTGCTCACCACGGTACTCAATAACCTGACAATACGTTAATAACTGTTAGATTCATCATCAAATCATCCTTTGGTCTTATGCTCTATATAACTCATTCAATTCTCATTGCTCAAGTAACCAAATAGCTTCACCAACTTGCAGTTGCCAACAAAACATAATACAAGGCACATGCAAATTCTACATGTGCATATATGCATCCGTGCAATGCCTGAATGTGTATTGTGCATGTATTCATATGCTCAAACCAAGGGAAGCACTAACAAAAAAAGGATTGCATTGCCATTTATTGTGCCCATGTTGGAGAACATTAGCATTCATGGGCTTCCATTCTTTACTCTTAAATATGGGCACAGAACGTGCCAGCACATATGTGATGTACTCTTAAATATGGGCACAGTATGCGCCAGCACATGTGATGTACTAGTACCATGCTGGCTTAAAATGATAAGGTATGTATTCAGCAATCATACAGTACATGTCTGTACTTGTATATCATGAGAGTATGCAAACACTAACATTAAACGTCTCTATGAGCATGGATCAAGAATTGCAAGGC